TATACATATATATAAAATCATTTGGTGGTCCATTTCAGCCAAAGTACAGAAGTGGAAGAATGAACGGAAAGTCTGTCATTTAAATTGATGGATCTATACACTTTGTTTTTTTTCGAGTAAGAAGTTTTTCACAGTCTCGTAGACCAACTTTAACCAACAGTGGCAGCATTTATCATAAAATTTAATGATGATGAAAATAATGTCCAGTAGACAGTTGAGAAAGTATTTGCTCGAATATCCAACATTGAGCTATAAGCTTCTTCACAATTGAAATACCAGGCAGCACTGATGGATTATTATGGAGGTGCAGCTTGGTCTCACTCCCAGAGCATCACAATACGCATTTTGGGCAGTGCTGGTATAATGATGGTGTTGATGTCCTGTGTGTAACTCAAGTCAGCGTTTAATTATTTTGTCACGTCATTCGTTTGTCACCTGTTAGTCACCCATTAGTCATGTGAGCCTGCTGATGTGACTAACATCAACCATGATTTTTCTGCTAACCCTGACCAAGTAGTCTTGCTGCCTGAACCTAACTGCTGACCGCTTCTTTGTCACGTGAGTTGACTAACTTGACTAACTGCTGACCCCTTCTGTATTAAGATACAATGCAAAAGGGTTTCTGCCCAAGCATCAAAATGTGATCAAGTTGGAGATGATGTGCTCCACTGGAAAATGTGTCAAGGTGGAGATGGTTCATACATGGTTCTTGCCAAAAGAAGTATAGTTTCGGGCATTCCCATACTATGTTTAGAAAAATGACCTGTGTGTCGGGTGGGAAGGATGTATAAGAAGGACAGGAAGACAAAGTCTTTATACCTGAAACTAAAACTGTAGAGTACTATATACTTTTACCGCACATAAAAGATGCATTTCTCCCAAGAGAGGCCAAGTAACCCACGTCCTCTTTCTCTTTGCAGGTGACTGGGACTGTCATTCTCTAGATCCTACAGTGTGGCATGTAAGTTTCAGCAAAACATGACCGATTCAGAGCATCAATGCTGCCTACACCCTGAATACTTAGAGTAACTTACATGCAAAGAGACACACAATTCTTTAGTGCATTAAAAAAAACCAAATCAAAGTTTACACACAAGTACATGTAGTTAACTGATAACATTAACAATTTTGTTCTCATTTCTCCTCCACATTCCCTCCTTTACAATGCCTCAAAACCCTTTCCTGTAGCATCCAGTTACATGGCAGCCATCCAAAGAGGGTGACCACCTAATTGGACGCATCACGCTAAGCAAGAGGTCGGCAATGCCCCGTGAGGCTGGCTCCCTCCTTGGCCTAAAAGTAAGCAGCGGATCACTTAGACTCTGGATCATATCTAGCTTATGAATATTTTGTTAGTGTTTGTTTTAACCTCAGTTGAATGCTAGATTAGTTCAAACTAGAAATAGTGATGTTTTTAATCTCGTGACACTGTGGTGTACTGGGTAACAAACATTTAAAGGTGAAGATTATTCCACAACACAGATATGCAAAGTGGTGCCTGTTGAGCAAAAACGGAATTCCACAGAAAACATAAAAATGGTAACATGAACCTCTGTTCCCTTTCTCCTCTTTGTGTGCAGGTGGTAGGAGGGAAGATGACAGAGACAGGGAGACTTGGGGCCTTTATCACCAAAGTCAAGAAAGGCAGCCTTGCAGATGTTGTGGGACACCTACGAGCAGGTGCTATATTGCTTCTATGCAGGGGCTACTGTATTTTATGTAAACTTGGTTGATAACAGTTCAGTTGAGAGGCTGATTTTCACAGTCAGGCTGAATTTAAAATGTATATCTGTGTGGGCGTGGACACCAAAAGTTCAAATACCAGCTGTGGACCAACTTTGTTAGCCACTGTTTAGTCCTATTTGTGATTTGAGCACCCTTATGTTTCCCTTGTGTTGTGTTTCAACTCATGTGGTGATGTACGGAGTGGTGAATTTACAGAGCCGCATTTCCACCAAGCACTTTCAGTGTCGTAAAACCTGTATGGACATGCATCTAAATCCCAGATCTGATTAGCGTTTCCAAGAAGGGTTGTTACCAGACAGTAATAGCCCTATTACCGCTCCATTCAGGTCTCGATGTATTTCCTCTTTGCTGATGATGCAGAGGAACGTCTGCACCTCACTGATTGACCACAGAATTGGGTTGCATACCAACTTTTTCATGTTTAGAGTCTCTGTCATAATTGATGGAATTATGTAAAAATAGCAAGTTTGTTGTTTATGCATTGAGTCCTTGTCGAGCACGATTGATGATTCTCTATTGTCCAATCAACACACCTTTTGGTATAGGATTGGTGTGTTTGACCTCAACAGAGCTGTAATGGTAAAATGGGATGAAATGGAACAGTTATGTTGGTACCATCCACAACTTTTGAACTGTTGAATTTTAGTCTCCTGTCGCCTGGTCTAGTGTGGCTTGACGACGCTGGCTGCTAGCGCAAGCATCAGAGGCTGTGCTAGCTCAGACCACTGCGTTCGCTGCTAAATGCTTTGTGTTGAGGTGATATTTCAGGCTTGAAGTACTCCGATGGTACAGAAATTCCTTACTGCAGAAATTGCAGAGAACGGTGCTCCTATGAACAGTTCCATTAGGCATTTATTAAATGTTAATGTTCCATTTAAGATGCCAAACAGCGTCTTCTCGTCTGCCTCCGTCATGTGACAAAGGTACTGTGGCCTTTAATGACACGCTGGGTCAACGGGCACCACAGGATGCGATTAATCAACATTAACTCTTTAAGTTATTACTTTAAGTGTTGTTTTTTCTGTGATTAATGAATATATGCATATTGTCTCTTAGTACCTGGCTTTTTCTAGTCAGATGTACTGTGAGCTGAGCCTCAGGCTGGATCATCATTGTGTATGTCGGCCATCTTGGTTCCAGGTGATGAGGTGCTTCAGTGGAACGGGAAATCGTTGCCCGGAGCAACAAAGAAAGAAGTGTACAACATTATCCTTGAATCCAAGGCTGAACCTCAAGTGGAAATAGTTGTTTCAAGACCTATAGGGTAAGATTAACATCATCAATGTGTGATAATTATCATGAAAGTACTTGAGCGATTGTTTTGACAGACACTTTGATATGTCTCCTTCCTTTATCTCAAAGCTCCATACACCGAATTATGTCCAAAAACTTCTTGAGAAAAGTGTATAGAGCATATCAGTAAGTAGAGCTGATTCAATGGGTGGAGCCCCTTCCCTTCATGTCTTCCCTGAAATCCTGAGATTCAAGAAAAAGATCCCTTGTTCCAGCTCTCCTTTTCTCCTCTACTACCCAACATGTTCAACATGTTGATGTGTATCTGGTTCACTGCTCGCTCCTCTTCTACCGTGCAACTGTGTGTTGACATGAGTCTTTTACTCATTCATTTTTAAAAGATGAATGTAACTAAAACTTAAGTCCTGACTTAAGTGTGTATTTACTTCACAAGTATCATGATGTATATTCTGTGCATTTAAAGTTAAAGAGTTGACTTGCTCTTTTTTTGCTTTTTACAGAGACATCCCAAGAATCCCAGAGTCATCCCATCCTCCTCTAGAATCTAGTAAGTGTTTTTACATGCAGCTTTATTAGCTATGTATGTAACTTCCATTTCTTACTGCTTATGTAAGTTGCTCTGAGAGAGCTACTCTCTTTACCAATCGTTTCAGGAAAGGTAAGTATTGCTTTACAGTCTATTTGTGATGGTAGGAGGGGATGGGGCAGCAGTAGCTGATTGCTGATGATCAGATGTTGCTGCGGTTTGATGCAACGCTAAAGGACCATCTCTGTGAGGCCTTCTCGTCCTGCTCTCTCTGCCCGGTTAGCACAAGCTAACACAACAGCTGCAGCTAACATCTAACTCCAAGCTGCTGAATGGTTCCAACAATCTCACAATGACACTGAAACGGCTCCACTCTTTTAAACCAAATGATAAACGTTGGGTAACCTTAGCTAACAGTTGGCCCTGTCACTGTGTGTGACTACATTTCAGGTGTGTAGCTCACACTCCCACAGCAGTAGTCTCATGATAACTCGGGGAAAGCAAGAGCAGCTCAAGAGGTTGAGCGAATCTATATGCTGTGTGCAGCTCTGCATTATATGACATTTTAAATCCTCAAATTTGCGGGAAAGTTGTGGTGATTTGACAAAATTGCAGGTTGCACAGAATTCATGCGGATTGGTCGAATTTGCATTAACTGTTGTGATACCGACATCTCAGCATTCTAGAGGGGGTCCTTTGTATTTTAATGTGTGCTCTAATTACAGATTTTAAAGCTGATTGTGCTTTTTTTCTCTTTGATATATTATAACAACTGTTGTTCTCTTCAATAGCGGGCTCCAGTTCCTTTGAGTCACAAAAGATGGACCGTCCCTCGATATCAGTGATGTCCCCTACCAGCCCCGGGACCCTCCGAGACCTTCCTCTGGTACTGCCTGGACAGCTCTCTGTGAGTATCTGAAAGATGTGGTATATGGTTCATGTCATTGGATTAAGATCGGAATGCAGCACTGGCCAGATGAATGAGCATGGTCCGCGTATTTCTGTCCAAAACTGAGCCCAACCCAGACCCAACACGCCGACAAATTTTGTTTGACTTCTCCTTAGCTAGCTAACATTAACTTGCCTGAATATTTACCACCTGAAATAGCCTAAGTGTTGTGTTCAGGCATTGTCATGTAAATAACAAATCCAGCACTGAAGAAGAAGCAGCCCAACACAGACATTAGGCTGAACACGACCCAACCCGAACATCATTTGTAAATATTTATCCAAACCCTGCCGGACCTGTCGGATCCTGTCGAACTTGGGTCAGGGTATCCGTATTGTAATACAGATATGGATAGAATCTAAGCCACAACCAGTGGGACTGTAAAATGAAGCCAACACAGAAGTGCCAAAAACAGCAGTTCTTTGAATGGCCTTTACAGCAGAAATAAACATGATTACAGCCTGGTACAACAAAACTGTTTTTGGTATCTATTGCTAGTTTTCCCTTCGTGACAACTGTATGAATTTTTATGTAACTCACCCGTATGCATTTTATTAATGCTTAAAGCTACGTAGAATAAAGGGCGGGCTGCTTTGAGTGACAGGCTGTCTATCTATTGTCAGATAGACTTCTCCACAGCTCCAGCCTCTTGCCCAAATATGGTAATTTATGGCTCAAAAATAACCAAGATGGGCACGACTTAAATGCTGAACTTTAGGCTTTAAAACCGGAGTCCACAATCGAATTGGTGATGTCACGGTAGCTGCGTCCATTATTTTTACAGTCTATGTTCTTCATACATTTGTTCAGGTGAAGCTGTGGTACGACAAAGTGGGCCATCAGTTGATCGTCAATGTCCTTCAAGCCATAGACCTGCCACCCCGACCAGACGGACGACCTCGTAACCCCTATGTAAAGATGTACTTCTTGCCTGATAGGAGGTAAGGTTATTGTATTGTAGCTCCATATCACAAGTACAGTACATCAGTAATTACATACATGACAAATGAGATTCAAGCCAGCAGTAAGGAACATAATCAAAGGAATATCGATCTGCTTCATCTTAGAGTTGTCTATTATATGTTCATGTTCAGACACAAGCATACCCCTTGTAATCTAAATCCTGTGTGTTCACGCCTTTGTTCCAGTGATAAGAGTAAACGACGGACTAAAACAGTGAAGAAGAGCGCTGAGCCCAAGTGGAACCAGACCTTCTTATATTCCCACGTTCACCGACGGGACTTCAGAGAGCGCATGCTGGAGATCACAGTCTGGGACCAGCCCAGAGTCCAGGAGGAGGAGAGTGAATTCCTGGGAGAGGTGGGACACACATGATACCCATTTACCATGTAATATAATAATGATTTGAAGATAGAGCTTTTGCTTCTAGATTACATGTCTTTCTTAATACAGCTACCATATGGGAGATTTCAGCCCAGTTGCCAGAAGAAAATGTTAGCACTGTACATTTCCATAAACCACAAATAAGTTACATTTGCACATCTTATACGTATCACATCAGTGATTTTGAAGTGACATAATATATGAGCTGACTTCAGAAGGTGGAGGGGATGAATGATGGCGTCTCACCTGGGTGAAATGCCTGCCAAGATGCAGACCACTGTTTGAGACCTACAAAGAAGAAAAGTGGTTGTAGTTTAGGAAGTTACTGCTATTTTTCCCAGAGGCTTTTTAGGCCAGAAAAGTGCATGTTCTTTTAGTGAGACATTGCTGCTCTTCCTGCTGTTATTGTGGCCCCCGCAAACCAGGGTTTTAAGCCAAAACAGGATCTTTTCCAAACTTAACCAATGTTAACAACAGGGTAATAATATTTTTAAATTTACAAAAATCATGAATGCTTTTTAAAATTTGTATTTATTTGTTTAAACAAGTTTGTTAAAAGTAACTTGGCTGATAAGCTAAGCTAACATCAAGCTCACATTAGCTAATATTAGCATAGTAAGCTTGCCTTAGCCTGGACTTTCCTTCTTTGTGCAACAAGTTTGAAGTTGTTGTGTCTATGTCTGTAAGTTTCAATCTGCACGTTTTGTTGACCACCACATAGTTTTGTACATGAACAAAATTTGTATCATTTTTTCCAACTGGTGCTCAGTAACATAATGTCAGTTCTTCATGGTTCTCTTCTGCAACTTGATTGGATGCTGTCGGATTGGTTCTTGAGAATACAGTTTTGACTTTCTGGGAGAGAATAGCATTTCTATTAGCTGATTTAGGAAATGACATTAAAATGAATTGACTCATGGCACACTTTTTAAAAGACACACTTTTTAATCCTGGGCTTGGGGGAAGGTTCCAAGTATTTCAAGTCAAAAGGCACATGTCCAAGTGAAGTCATGAGTCATTGGTGTTAAAGTCCAAGTCAAGTTGCAAGTCTTTTATTGATCTTGTCAAGTCGTGTCTAAAGTCATCAAATTTGTGACTTGAGTCTGACTCCAGTCCAAGTCATATGACTTGAATCCATACCTTTGCTACCTGGTTGAACTTGTTACAACTCATCATTTGTAATTTCTGTGTGTTGGGAATTGCTGCATTAAAGATCCACGATTGAAGTGGTTCCACAGACACGCAGTCCCAGCTGTCCATACATCTCTGAAAATAAGAAGTTGATCTTCCCACCTCTTTTGCTCATGCATTTGCCTCTTCCACCTTTCCTTCTGTCCTCTCTCAGATCCTGATAGAGTTGGAGACGGCCCTGCTGGACGACATTCCTCATTGGTATAAACTCCAAACACATGACATGTCCTCTATACCTCTGCCCCAGCCCTCCCCGTACCTCCCACGCAGACACGTCCACGGAGACAGCCCCAGCAAGAAACTACAGAGTATGTGTGGTTATATACAGTATTTTTCAGGCTGTGTGTGTATAAATATGTGCGTGTGACTTAATCCCTGTTTTTGAACCTGTAGTGCGTCTGAGTGTGTGGTCGCTAACCTTTCCTTTTCTGAGCTTTCTCTTTTGTGTCTCCCAGTGTGGGAGACTGACAACAGAACCTCTCAACCTTACTCTGTCCTGTATGTGTGTTGTATATGTGTGTGTGCGTGTGCAGGGTCTCATCGCATCATTGATACAGAGTTTGATGATGGTTTGATGGTAGTGACTAAAGGTGGGTGGGGGGCATGGTTACTGAGCATTTCCTTGTATTAGCCTGTAGGCGTCCAGCACTGGGTGAGAGAGCGTCTTCTTTGCATCCTCGCTCCATCTATTCCTTCCAAAAACCTTGCAGCCTCCTTTTGGCTCTACTGTATGTTTTAGAACAAATTGCACCCAAATTAAAGTAATTAATCTCTGCTGTATCAGCGAAAGGCAACACTCCAAAAACTTCTGCAATTCATCATATTGCTACTGGACTGCAGATTTTGAATTGTGGTGTTGTAGTGTGCAGCCTTTGAAAGCGCTGCAGTTCAGCAGTGTACTGTACTTCACTGAGGCTGCAGTGAACAGTTTCTCCTCTTCTGCTGGGCCGTAGAAACACCGAAGCACTGAGTGCATGTTAGACTGTAGAGCTACAGTTGTTCACTGCCATTCCACTGAGTTTCCTGCCATTCTCCTGCATGCTTCTAGTCCTGCCCAGACTTCACTGAAAGGACACTGAACATGCACAGTAGAAGCTGAACTTGTGTTATTTTGGCAAATAGAATCACTACAACTGCTTTGTTGTGGACTGTTTCTGCTGTTGCTTAACTTCCTGTCAGATTATGGTTCATTTTGGCCTCTTCTTTGCCACATGAGGAAGCTAATTATACAATCTCTGACTTATGCCTACCATACACTACTGAAAAGACTTTTAAAAGACTGAATTATAATACCCTCTCACATCTTAAGTCCATGTCCGTGTTTCACTCACAGACTATAGGATTTCTCAAAGACTGAGGATCTTGCAGGGTCACAATTTGCAAGACTACAACTAGATTCCTTTTAAGATTATTTCCCATCTGCTCCTGGTGGGAAATATTATGCCAAACAGCCTTTAAGAAATCCGACCTTATAACAATTTTTTAAGTGTCAGCAAAAACACATAACTCTAGAAACACGAGATAAAAGGTGTCAAAGTTTGATAGTATTCTTGTTAATTCGGCATCAATATAATCCGTGAAATAAACTGTATTTGCTTACAAACTTTAGAATTTTGGATATTATCAACTCAACTCATCACCAGCCTCTGTTGGTGAGCTACGCTATTTCAGTGGGAGAGAGACTGTGGGAAAAAGATGTAACCTATTTCAGAAGATTCTCACTAAAATAAATGCTGGTGGGGCGTCGGTAGCATAGTGGATAGTGCCGGCACCCCATGTACAGAGGCGATGCCTTGCTGCAGCGGTCGCAGGTTCGACTCTGGCTTGCAACCCTTTGCTGCATGTCAACCCCCACTCTCTCTCTCTCACCCCGTTTCAATCTGTCCTGTCCATTAAAGGCAAAAAGCCCAAAAAAATAATCTTTAAAAAAATAAATAAATAAATGCTGGTTGCTGGATCAGGTACGTGCCAAATTAAACACCGACTCTTGTTCTCGTCACAGCTCTACCAGTTTCTTATCCTTTACCACAGTATAAGAGAACCAAGGAATGGTAGTTTGTATGTACACAGGCTTGTACCTGGACTAGGGGAGTTACAGTATATCAGTTTTGATGATAATCCTCAGATTTAAAAATGAAATATTGATATCATGTTAATAATAAACATGATAGTATTGTGTAAATAATCTAGCACCTCTTAAATCATTCCTGTTTCTTTATCCTCCCTAAACTTGTGTTTTGAGTGTAATTTATTGCCAAAAAAGAGACAAGACACACAGTGAACAAAGTTAAAGATGAATTTGACCATAACATTATTTTTTCGAACCTTCTTTAAATTTTGCGATAATATCATTATCCTAAACTCCGTTGGGTACGAAAATCGTGTAGTGAAAATCTGATATCGTGCCAGCTCCAACATTGACTATTTTAAAGAACTACATAATTCCTGTCAATGTTGCTCATCCTAATGAGCGGTACATTTACATCCTGAACCCTGAAACCTCAAAATATCCGCTTCAACTTTCAACTCTATTTCATATCTTATGTAGCTAAATCTACGTGTCCATATATTTATATGTCACAACAAAATGAAGCAAATATAAGTTCTATAAATATTCATCTCATGCATTTATTGTAAATTCTGTTTTGTTATGTTTAAACTGGATTATATATGACCTATTCTCTGTAGCTGTGGTGATTAAGTATCCCCGAGGGGTTAAAAGTCTTAACTCTCATCTCATCTGGCACTCCATGCAGGTTGAAACAAGAACTGAGAGATTTAAATCTCACTGATCTCGGGTCTGACAGAGACGTTGCAGAAACAGTCAGCTCCTCAGGCTAGCTCACATGATGACCAGCTAACGTGTTTGCTAGCTGGTCGTTTACCTGTAAAACATCCTGATGTGATGTTCTACAGTCTGTAAGAGAATGGTATCTGTAGTGGTAGTCAGTAGCACAACGCTGACAACTGGTGCATCCTTATCAAAGGACACACAACTAATGCCTGGATCTGTGTGTGTGTGTTTCTGTGTGTTTCTTTGTGTGAATCCATGAATCGACAAACATGTTTGTATGAATGTTTGTGCTTTGTATCCGTGCTGGATCTCTGTGAATGTGTGTGTGTGTAGGTGCAGAGCGTAACTCCAGGGAGAGAGAGCGGGGCAGTACGCTGGCTGTGCCTGAGCAGCAGCGTCCCGTCCAGCACCGGTCACGTTCAGTGTCTCCTCACAGAGAGGACTCCTGCAGGGCTCGGTCACGGCCCGCACATGTGCCCATGCAAAGGTCAGCAACACCTGCCACAGTTACCTGGTGGACTGTTAGTGGAGTGTGTGTTACCTGTGGTGATACTATCCCAGCATCAGCCAGTATCTGAGAGGTAGTCAGTAGGTCAATAATCTCAGTGTTGTTTAAAGAGAATCTCCTGTAGAGTCTTTATTATGCATTCCAGATTAAATGTCCCAGCATCTGACATTTCAGCTTTTTAGATCAGATTATATTTGATCTGCAACATACTGGTATGAGCGTTGACAGTATACTGTCCCAAATAGGATAGAAGAGGTGGTCAGAACAAACTAGAAGTAAGGGTGGACATATTGAATCACCAGAATCACTAACTATGGACCAAGGTTCATATCATACCTGAATAAAAACATAAATTAATGCGATATTTTTGATGTCATCAGGAGTCTGGATGAGATCCACCAGAACCGCCACCACTCCCACTCCCCCTCCCGCTACCATGACTCCCACTTAGAGCACCAACGCTCTGGGGACTCGGACTACGAGTACTCTGAGGACAGGTAACCTGATACTGGGAACTGTGGGGATCATTACTGGTGTGGGGTGGGGTTATGACACTTTTTACTTGTAAAATATTATGCTGAAGAGCAGGATGCACACACATTGGATTAGTGCTCCTTGTGAGTAACTGAGCGATGATTCGACTGCAGCTCTGGTCTAATCATGCAGTTCAAAAATTTACTGATGGAGCCCTGACATGCTAATATATTTTGATATTCTTTAAAAGTTGACTCCTGTTTTGGTCAAGGCTGCAGCTGGTCACCTTTATAAAAACAACTTTTTATCATATTTGCTGAAATTGTCACTATACCCATACAGTAGTACACATTCCTCCTCAGCCGGTGAACGATGCCTCATTTTAACTTGACTGTTTTCAACATGGCGGCTGAGTCACAAACTCTCTCACTTTCCAGCTAAACAGTACATTAAAATATGATTCTAGGAACATCTAAGACAAGAAATAGGCAATGCAGTAACAGAATTTGAATTCATGTTTGATCAGCACTGACTTGTTTGACAGTTTAAACACAGTGATTTACATCCCTAACCACCAATGCCATTAGACGTCGATATCAGGTTGAATTTAAGTTGTAACACCTGGTGACAGAAATTCAATGTCAGCACAAAGTCTAATGCCAACGTCAATTTGACATAGAATACTGACGACAGATGATGTTGATATTTTGTTGGTTTTAAGATGTGTTAAGTAACGTCTTTCAAATGTCTCATCCCAATGTCATCTTGATGTAGACTAACGTCATTTAGTCGTAGCGTTTAGAGAACAAAATCAAACGTCCACAAAATGTCAGACTGTTAACGTTCACACACGATGAAATTCTGACGTAGGTAGACATTTAACCTTTGAACTCTGGAGCGACATCAATTCTCTTGTGCTGCTTTGCGATTTCTTTCAAAAACATGGGGAAAAGGCAGTAGATAAAAGATAGAATGCTTTATTGTCATTATATATTAAATATTTTTTTGCTAATTTTCTTGTTTTTAATTTTCTCTTTTTACTAATTTATCACAATTTTTTTGTCATTTTTTCTTTCATTGCTCATTGTTGTTGCCTTCTTCCCATGTTTTTGACAGAAATCAAGCCAATTTGCTCATGTTTTAAAGTGTTAACATATTGGTTACGGTTACATGATGGCTTCTCATTCGGAATGAAATAAATCTGAATGAAATCATTCGGAATTAAAGTTTTTCCAGGTAGTTTACATGGGAAATATTCATTCCAAATGAGGGTTTACATGGGAGATCAGCTTAATCGCCTTTATTCAGGTCTGCGCAAGGTTTGGGGCAGGGATGGTTTCTGATTGGATAGGGGGCGGGACAGATGTTACATGTTTACGTTTACCGGAACAAAACACTGTAGTCCTCGCTCCGGCTCACAAGATGCTTGACGACACCGTTCTTAGTGCCTGCATACGCAGAAAGACCGGAATGAACTTCAAGAGGAATGAGTGTATACATGCACACAAAATTCTTTCATTCGGAATGACAAACGGCATAAACCACCCCCTTTAATCGGATTTAATTTTCAATCGGAATGACCGTTTACATGACCACTTTTAATCGGAATGAAAGGCCATTCCGATTAAAAGTGGAATTAAACTGTCCATGTAAACGTACTGACTGTCAACCTGATTTTCATTCCTATCAAAATTTAACATCTGTCCGACGTAACAGTCCAATGTCCCTCTGACGTATTGGCGTCTAGTGCCAGCTGGGATGACTGACAGCTGTGTTAGTGACTCCTCTGCTCTGATTGGTTGTTTTTATTCATGTAAAGCCATCAGAAGCACTACGAGGAGGAGGGAGGATCTGTCTTATGGACTACTGTGTGGATACAGTGACAGTTTCAGCATATTTAACACAAAGTTACTTTTTATAAAAGTTACCAACTACAGCTTTAATCAGTGTGTGTAATGTAATCTTACCAAACTAATGTCTACTAATACTACTAACAGTGTGAAACTAGTCATTACAACATGAATGCAGACTGAAGTGAAATCTCAGAGTTATGATTTCCTGGTTTCTCTCATTCATAAATTCACTTTGCCTGTCTGAGTTGCCATCCTCTTCTGTTGTGTTTTTCTCGGGTTGTTTCTCATTTGTTCACCCATCGTCATGGCAATGACAGTGAGGTCCTGGAGATGCACAGGTCTATCCGAGGCGGGAGTGCTGAGTGCCTGCACACAAACAGGTAAAAGTTAAAAAAAAAAAAAAAAGACAACGACCACCATTCAGCCTTATTTGAATAAAATAGGCCATTTCATCATCATTCCATCCTCACTATACTTTAACAACTCCATCTTAACACACTCAACGTTTCAGTGCAAACAGTGTGTTGGTTATCTTCAATGGACTGTCTGCTTTTATGCAACCGCATGAACACAACATATTAGGTGTCACATCAGGATCAAGTAGTAGTAGCACACTCATAAATTCATGTCTGACTATTGTCTATCACCACAACACTCACTCATAAAGACACACACAACACACTGATCACTGTGTGAGGGGATTAGAGACCTGCTTGGTGGCTGACCTCAAAGGAGGCAAAGCTCTTTTGATTAATTTCTTTTCTTTTTTTTTTGCATTTGATGTATTCACTCACGGCACTTGTATATTTTTTTCCACTTTCCTTTTCCTTGTCTTGCTTTACAATGCATGATTTCTACTCGTACAACCAGGGGCATAGGTAGATACAGCAACACGCTACCCCCCAAAATGCCCCTGTTAGTAAACGGTATCCATAAAGACATTTACAGGTAAGCATCTAGCGTGAAAAGCAGTTTTGCGAACCCTTTTCTGTGCCTGTCCAGCTTTCCCAGACTCATTTGTGGAGTTGGTGGGTCATTTAGTTGCAGCGGTGTTCTCTGAGCGCAATAAATGCCCATGTGTCTCCCAGACCACTGTGCTGCTTGTGCTTGCTTTGGTCAGAGTGCGTGCCAAGTAGCTTTGTCATGGTGCTGCTTTAGCTAATTAAATGGTATGTGTTGCTTTTCCCTCTGTATTATGCAATCCTTTAAAGGACTATACTAGTGCTATTTCATGTTGGAGACCATTAACAGCAAACTTCTGACCATTTTCCAAAGCATATCAGAGGTTTGAAGACTGATTTCCTACCTTCTAGGTAGCAGTTGAGAACAGGGAGTCACCGGTGCAGTCGAGGGAGGTCTGCCATCTGGAAATTACAAGACGAGTGCCAATAAAGTAAAGCATTCATGTGCTATGTTGTCAGATAATCCATCCTGCAAGCTAAACAATAAGGACATAATAATCAGAATATGGTCGTTTCTTTTCAATTGTTTGCTGAATCTCAAGTCTGGGAATTCAAGCGACCTAGAACACAACAACAAGGAAATATTATTAAAACACACTGGTCATTTCTGCTGCAGTTGGTTATCTTTCAGGCTCGTGGCACGGCTCTAAATAAGCTCCAGATAGGTCAATCAGTTCGTTCACCACTTTGGTCCAGACTCAGATATCTGAGCAAAATGTAGATGGATTCCTTTAAATTGTGCTATGAAGTTGTCCAACTTTGGTTTGGACCAAAAGCCTGAAAAACTAATGATATCCCCATGAGCCTTAGCTGTTTGGTTTTCATCCTAATTAGCATGCTAGTGTAGGGGTATGACAATACATCAGGTAATATGTTGATTGAGGGATTAACAATCTAATATCATTAATACAAAATAAAAACTGATACATATTGTCATCTTTGAGAGACGTCAGTGTCACCATTCTCATCCAAGTGCACCTCCCTCTTAAACATTCAAACAGTATTAGCGGCCAAGTGCCAGGCAGATCATGGCAAGCAGCCAAGAAAAAAAAAAAAAGTACACATGCCACTTTTTTGCACCCTCAGATCCATTGTTTTGGACGTAGATGAATGGAAGGCGCACTCAAAAGTGAGAGCCACACCATGGTGGTGCGCATGCAATCCCAAGTGCCTGTCTTTAAGGGTGCAACAGATGCACCCTCAGATAAACAAAGTTCGGCTGGCAATTACAGCCGGCAGACATCTTTCCTTTCTTCTATAGAAATCATCCAAGTAAATATGGAGCAGAAGTTGATGATTTTAGTGCAGAGCTACCCAGAGCTTTACATCTGTCCCACGGACAATATTTTAGGTCTGATACACACCTGGAAAACAACACCTGAAGAAGGTCAGCTCAGAACTCTGCTCATTTCTGCTAAATAAGCTGTGATACAGTGCTTGTTATGGTCTCTTAGCAACACCAGCAACCTGCGTCTGTGCTCTTGAAAGTTGGCACAGAGTTGGCACAAGAGCAGCACCCAAAAAAAGACACGCCATGTGTCCAGACCCTTAGTCTTGTTTAAAGGGACACTCCACCAATTTTACACATTAGTATCATTTTACTACACAGCTTGTGAGGTGTAGTAATGTCTCCTGAGGATGTGTAGGATCTAGAGTTTTTGGAGTTTGTCCCACATCAGGGACTAAAGGTTAGAAGATCTCGGCCTCGGCTGCACCGATTTCATGTCTCATGTACCCTTAACTTCATGGAAATTTAATCCTAAACTGCCGGGGTATAACTGTTGTAATGGCTGCCTGGAAATTAGTCACACCTTTTGGAATTGTTTGCAAATCATCAGTATGATGTAAAGAATATATGAGTTGCATTAAATGGGCTAAAACATGCAATAACACCAGTATTGTGCTTTGATATATTTATCAAATGTTGATCCTGGCGTATTAGTGAATATTAATGTGTAGCATACTCTCGCTGTCTCTTTCCCTTTACCTCTAAACCAGCATCAAAACACATAATCATATAGTAGTCATATTTACTGTAATGCCATATAACCACCACACAGACAGACAGACCTCCTGTTTAAGCATCTCTCTATTCTGCTCTAATCCTTTTCACGGTACTCCTATGTATTTTATAGATTTACTGTAGCTTGGTTTCCTCGCCACGTGCCGCCTCGACAGCTTTAGATCTGTAGATTGTGTTATATAATCAGCATTACATGTAATCTCCCTATATATGTGTGTGGGGTCAATCCACAGGGAGGGCAAGAGAAACTATCTCCACACTCTTACATAATGAATTCCTCACTCTGAGGTCAGAGACAGAAGGATGCAGTTCAACTCGTGCTTTGTGTGGTGTTTCCAGTGATCACCAGCAGCAGTTTATATTTTGTGAGAATACTTCTTTATTACTGAGGTACAGCATAAACTATGAGCTGAGAGTCGAGGCAGAAACCATAATCTATGTTGCACCGTAATGTGATAATGTGAGTGCTGCGCTTCTTTGTCTCCTTATCAGTTGCAACAAGCCTGCTTTTGTTGTCCGTCCCTTCTCTCATTTTGTCTCTGCTTATTTCTGTCGGCTGCATGTGTCATTTTTGTTTTGCTTTGCCTTCCTTTGCACGCGGGTCTTTCCCCACCTCTTGTGGGCGGGGCTTTGGCACACAGCTCCACCCTCCCCGCATGCCTAAAGAGCAAGCCGCCCCACAGACAGGAGGGGGGCAGCACCATGCCTCGTAGCATCCTTACACACCGTGTGCTCAGGTTCACTGATGAGGTCACAGTTAGGTAAGAACACTTCTCACACCATCTCCCTCCTCCACCCATATCCTTTCCTTTCTCCCGTTTTCGGGGGACAACGCACAGCAGAGGCTTAAGCATGTCCTGGCAGAGCATTAAACAAACACTAAACTCCTAAGCCCTTGTTGCCATCCATGTGAGGCATTTGGCCATAAAACATTATGTGCAGTATCATGCGATGACACGGAGCCACCCATCTGTTGAAAGTATCTGTTGTCACGGTGCAGCATGACGTGACAAACATACAGCTGTGAGCGTATGCAGCGCAGAGTAAACGTGAAAACACTGGCTGCTTCTCTCCCCTTCACTTATTCACCCCCTCACACAAACACACTGAAAGCAGTCCCCGCTCCCACTTAGACCTGGTTCCCATGGCAACTCACCAACCTTCCATCTGAGTGGTCTCACAGTGTATGGCCGCGAGGAATGACTGGCTATGATAAATGGAGATACAGCATCAGAGCCATTACATGTTACTGCACTGTCTGATGGCCTTCCTTATTCTCTCTGTGTCTCACCCTCCGTCTCCTTTTCCTAAACTTAATATCTTCCTCCCTTTTTCTCGCTTTCTCTGTCTTTTCTTTTGTCTACCTCCCACTCATCACCCCTTTGTTCCCTCACATTTTTCACAATCTCTTCTTCCTGACACCTCGGCTTGCATCCTCTGTCCTTGTACATCTTGTCTCCATCTCTGTTTCTTTCTCTTCTTTGTTTCTCTCTCTGCTGCCATGTTGTGGCGGTGCAGCGACCTGCAGCCGTCGTTGGACAGAGTGAGGAGTGCCAGCACCACTTGTCTGAGACCAGACACCAACTTTCACTCCCCTGAAAGAGACAGGTATAAAACGAATAATGAACTTACATTAATCCACACATTTTGGATTTAATTTGCACAAGATTCTGATATTTTATTCTAAGGATGAACACAGAAGCAGCGATCATAGACTGCTGAAACTGTCTTCAGTGACGGCTTTTAAATTATTTTCTCTGGATTGCGTGATTGAATCATTCAACATTTTGGGTTTAGGATGCTGCATGTCTTCACACCGGTTCATATCATGTGTCCCTTTCATACATAAAGGAATTTGCCATGTCACACCTGCTGTTTAAATTTGTAATTTTATAAAATATCTTTTATTTCAGTAGTGTTCTGCACAAAATACTTTGCAGATGTAGTCTAAAAAATGACAGACGAGGTTATACAGCAAATAGTTGTGTAGAATTAGATGCAACCCAATTGTCAGAATATATGTTGGCACTGTACATTTCTACAAATCACGGGTATAGCAGAAATGTTGAAACATTATGTTTCTCTATGTTTTCATTTCCAATTTTATGTTTTACCAATGCTGTGGTCATCATGTGATTAAGTTTAGGCAAAAAAAACACCATGTTTTGGCTTAAAATACCCCGTTTGGTCACCCCAAAGATGGCTGGAAGCATCAAAGTCTCATTAAAAATACCAGGTTTCGTCACCACACACATGCCTGGAAATGTCTCGACATCTTTTTAAAAAATACCCCGTTTTATTGCCACAAACATGGCTGGAAATGTCACTGGTCTCGAGTAGTCATCTGCTTCTTGGCAGCCATCTTGCCTAGGTCTCACACCTTCCACCATCCCCTCCTCCTTTTTATGAGAAACTCAGCCTATGTACATGTAATCTGAACTAAGGGTGCTTTCACACCTGCTCTGTTTAAGTTGGTTCAATCAAACTCAGATTTGTTTCCCCCTATGTGCGGTTCATTTGGGCAAGTGTGAACACAGCAATCCCGCTCGGGTGCACACCAAAACAACCGGACTGAGACCTTCTTGAAGAGGTGGTCTCGGTCCAGTTACAAATGTACTCTGCTGCGGTTCATTTGTGATGAGAACGTGTTCCGACCTCGATCTGAACCAACTGCAGTCACATGACACATTGTTAGGGTTAAACATGAGCATGTTACAGTCCTGGAGGATTATTAATGTGCACCTCCTCCTGTACTGCCTTAATATGCACATTCACCACATCCAATGCATCAAAACATTGTTTTCTAGTTGGAGCCGCGCCTCGTTTTCAAACTGTATGGTTTGACTAAAATGAACAATGACAGCAATATAGTCCACAATGAGCAGCACTAAAATCAACCTGCGTAGTTGTCCCTCCATTGTGACATTAGAAAGTGTCACATTTATCTTGCAAGTGTACTCTTCCTCAACGATTTGTTTACTTCCTGGATTTGGCCTGCATGGAAATTCTGACCAATCAAGAGCAGCTTTCTCAAAACTTAGAAACAACACGATATGATTTGTGTGAAACATACAGATGTAACTAATCCGTGGTTTGCCGAAACGAACAATGCCAACATTTTTTTAACCCCTCTCATATGTTTGTATGGTAAATATCAAGCTGCGGCCAACAGCCATTTAGCTTAGCTTAGCACAAACACTGGAAACAGAGGAAAACAGCTAGCATGTCTCTGTCCAAAAGTAACATAAACCACAGATTGTTGATTTTATGCTTTGTTTTTTTGTCCAGATTAAACAAATGAAAAAGAACATGTCACTTTGAAGATTTAAGAAAAGAACAGATCTGTTTGACCCTTTTTTAAATTTGTATGTTTAGCTAATCTAACTCTTTCTTGGCTAGTTTCTCGTCTGACTCAGCAAGAAGGCGATTAAGTGTATTTCACAAAACGCCAAACTTTTCCTTAAAATAAATAAGATGCATTATGTCAGTCAAGTTCTTGTATATTTACCACTTTGTACAGTAAGTGCTTGTAATGCACAGATTTCTAACTTGGCCTAAAATTAAAAACGAGTCAAATCAAGCTGAACCTTGGGACTGTTATTATGCCTTTACACGTAAAGAAGATTCACAGTTTCAAAGCCTCTCCTGTCCTTTTACTCACTAACAACCTCTCCCGGTGTTCCTACCTTGCGATGCTCCTCCTCCCACCCTTCCGCCCCTCTAGGTGCTCCAACTCTTTGCCCCGCAAGACTCTCCCCAGCCCCCGGATCTTAGTAGAACATGTGGCCCCTGAAGAAGACAGGTATACCAGGCCTGCCCCCTCCTGCCATCCCCAACTCTTGAAACACTAATGCTACAGCTCTGCTTGCCTGCTTGTACCTTCAAAGCCTTTCCTGTAGCCTAGAGCTCGTTCTGTAGATGATAGCGTTGCACAGATCTTGCGACTTTCCCTTTTCCTGTAAACATGTGTGGTGTTAGGCTGTGTAATCCCTGCACCTGCCCTTTCTGCTGAGCGCCTGCTCTGACTTTCCCCCACCTCTATGGCTTGAAAGTGCTTTTTCCTCTGTAACACTTCTGCTGGTGGGGAAAAAAAAAAAAGTTTACGGAATGTGCAGTTCTCAGCTATATTGCTTTTACGAACCACAAAAACCATATAGTCTCAGCTTGAGCCTTTTACATTCTGTCCAACACATCAGTCACTGTTGAGTTTTGCCATTCTGTGGTCATTCTCCATATCGTGTTTGTTTTTTCTTCCTCTCTCACTCTGTGGTTGCTGTTTGCCGCAACAGGCAGTGTAGCAATTCATCAAGTCCGAACTGTCAAAGGGGCAGCAAAAAAAGCCTGGAGGGGGACAGGTAAGATCATTCATTCATTCACTCACCTTATTTAATTTCCTCTCATTACTGTCACTTCTTCTATACTTTCTAGACAGATGATAACTTCCATCTGTGACTGCCTGTCAAACCTGGATTTTTTTTTTTTGTTTTAAGTCACAGCTTGTGCAGTACATTGCCTTAAATCCTATTTTATCCTATCTTTAAATTAGCTATAAACACTACAGCTCACAGTGCATTCTTTGTGATTTGATTTTCACTCTTCAAAGACCTTTTTTGTTAATGAATGATGTGAATGAACATCTGCTGGGGGGAGGAATCATAGCACAGAAGATGCAGTTGCAGCATTGATCCACCTGATGCTGAAGCATTTAGACAAGCCTCAGACTACAACTAGATTTTATCAGCTCAGGCACAGGAAGAAAATGTTGGCACTGTACATTTTTGCACCAAGAATACATTAGATTTTCATGTTTCATATGTATCATATCAACATTTCTGAAGTGACTTATGTGTGGAATTCGTCATCTGGTGGTGGAGGGGATGGTGGATGGTGGATGGTGTGACACCTAGGGAGACACCTACCAAGCTGCAGACCACTGTTCAATTGTGTTTTAGTGAGTCATTGCTTTGTTTTCAGCAGCTTCTGAGGCACCAAACGTGGCTGTTTTTTAGTGACCTGTCGCAGTTTTTCCAGTGGGGATAGTGCCACAAAATGCCATCGTTTTTTACCGAGACATTACTTTGTTTCCAGCGGGGATGGTGCCCCAGAAACTGGGTGTTTAAGCCAAAACATGATCTTTTCCCTAGCCATAACCAAGTGGGTTTTGTGCCTAATCCTAGCCACTTGCTAACCGCAGCAGTGTTGAGAGACAGAAATGTACAATGCCAACATTTTTTTGCCACCACACTTAAGATAGTTCCTTGTATGTTGATTTAGAGTGCACCAGCTGTATTGGATTGATGATACTGTCTGCTCACCATTCTTATCATGGACTTCTGCATAGTCTAAATAGCGTTACACACAGAGCCACAAAGGAGTAGCACATGTTGCACTATTTTCATTTGATTTAATTTTGCTGTACTTATAAAGTTTTATATTTTCATTTGTTTTTATTTGCTGATGGCAGTCGTATCCAGCCCACCTCTATCCTGAGGGGCAGTAGGGGGAGAGGGGGCCCGCTGAGGCCCTTTGGCCAGACAGTCCTGGCTGGGTCCTGCCCAAACTCGCCACGGCTAGACAGGTGCATGCTCCTGCCAGCACTACGCCTCTACTCCCCTGTGTGCTGATTTCCTCTGTCACGCTGAGTGTGGAAACTGTATGCACACATACTACATGTGAATGTCACATCTCAGGAAGCCAAAATAATGTAATAGTTGCTTCCAAGAATTAAGAACAACAGTTTCATGTTAGCTATGGAAGGATGTAAACTGTTCAACAGTGCTTTATGTAGTTATGTGTGTAGTAAATAGTAGAGGCTGTGACTAGTAAAGTTCCTTGTATAAATGTACCATCTCAACATTACAATAACTGGGATGTATAGAGATACTGAGATACTGTGCATACTGTCTGTAAACACACTCAGTGCCACTTTGTGTACTTCTCCTCTACTGGTGATTCTGATCCATTCCTATCCCAACTTGACCTTTGACCTTTAATGCTGGCAATCAATTTATTGTCTCTGTGTTTTCTCTGTGAGTTTTGGGCCTCACTTCAATCAGTGATTCGTCTCACATAGCCAGACCTATCTCGCACTTGAGAAAGCTCCTGCTGAACCCATCAGAATTCCCCAATAAGAGAAAATAATGCTCTGGGTTGTTTGTATGTCTTTTAAAATCAGAATCGTCTTGGGCGTCGCTAAGCCCAGGATGCAGCAACTGTTCTCTTGCAAAGTAGTGTCAAGAGAGAGCTTGTTTTACTGAAACTTTTGCACGACAGGAGGTGAGCGCTGCCATTAAAATGACTAAATCCCTGCAAAAGAGAACACTACATAAAACATTAAAAGACGTTTTAGCGTGTAGTTTGCACACTGAGAAATTGTTGTTGTTTTATGCACAGTGCTAAAACAAAGTGTAGAGACAGGTCTGGCTACGTGAGAGTAGTTTTCATAGTGACGGATTTTGAAAACTGTAACAAGCAGATAGAGGAAGGGGAGGAGAATTCCTTCAGATATAGGTGGTCAATGGCAGGCTTGTACAGCAGCAGTCGACATCCTGCGAGTCAGACTAGTTGCTGATGAACGCAGTTATAATAATGTGTTTTTTACTCCTTCTCTCCTGTCTCGTTGTGTCTTTCTGTTCCTGTCTGTCAGAGCACACCCTCACGGCAGCCCCTCCTCTCCAACGGGGACTCCCTCATCAGGTCGCAGGGGCAGGCAGCTGCCTCAGCTCCCTGCAAAAAGCAGCAGTATAGAGCAAGGTATGTTGTCTGCAAGAATGGAGTTTTGATATCAGAACGTAGGGGATGACGTGAAGATATTAATCCTGGTGGAATAGGCAAACCTGTATCTACAGATATATAATTTGATCATTCTTTACTCATGCAAGAGTAACAAAATAACATTTTAACATATTTTTTTGCTTGTTTTAGTTCACATAGCTGCCAGAGGGGTGGGGTTAAATGTACAGAGACTTTATAAGAAGACAATAGAATATACCTTTATTGTTCACCATGAGTGGAAATTTGTCTTTGGCTCACCAAACACAATACACAACACTGTAAAAGCAGACAAATAGTCAGTAGGACAAGCATATAGAGTCATTATAAAACACTTAACACATTAAATCAGCTCATTGTCTGTCTGTGGTTTAAAACTAATCAATCACTTGGTTGAGTTACGGATAAATTGGCACTCGGGATAAGGGAAACTCCAGTATTTTTTAACCTGGACTCCTTTTTATCATGTTTTTGTGTCTAAGTGATTCGTGGAAACAACAATTTTTGGAATTGTTGAAACTAAAATTAAAGAGAGAGTGCTGCAGAAACTTCAATTTATGTCCAGGTTTGGACTTTAGCTTGCTCACTGACAAGAAGTGTTGTTTTGAAATGTCGTAAGAAGTGACTTTCTGCAGGAAAAAAACCTTAGTGAGAATTGGAAAGAGGAGTGACGGTGTGAGTGTTTTGTGTTTGAGTAAATAAAGGGTATCTTACTCTTATCTAAAAGCTTTTCAGTGTCATGGCCGAACATTGAGCTGATTTTGACAATGTGTAAAAAAAAGTGCAAGATTTCAGAGTAAGATTTTGACTTTGGCGAGACTCAGACACAAAACAGAGTAGAACAAGCAAAGGTCATTATTTCATTATTCTTTGGGGTCCTCTCCGAAATGTTGCCAGACACTTTTAATAAAAATCTGGCAAAAACAAGCACTTTTAATGGACCCATAATTTATGGGTGCACATGCCTCAAGAGGTTATGTTGTAGCCTGTTTCACTCAGTACTGGAACAACTTCAAAAACTGCTGTCTTTCAGGTTGAAAAATACTGGAGTTCCCTTTAATGTGCAGTCAATCACAGGTGTCATTTCTGACAGTTTAACATCCCTATATGATAATTCCTAATTTGGCAAACACAGCTGGACAGTTATATTTGTTTCCGGATTGAAGCAAGTAAGCATGTCTGTCTGAGCCTCCTACATCTGCATCCATCATGAGGAAACTTGATGTACTCAGTGCACATCATGCTCCACCTAGTGTCCAAAACCAGATCCTGCATCCTCAAAATACTCCCTGTCCGTCTCTTATTGGGAATTGCTTTTTCCTGTTTTTTTTTCTACCTTTCTTTTCTTTTTTCTGTATGTTTTTTATCTTACTCTTCTTTGTCTCTTTTTTTTCCAGCCCTTGCAGTAGAGGAGCGAGCCCGACAGCTGCAGATGAAAGTACATTCCTACCGGCCTTCAGCCTCCCACGACCCTGAGACGGACCTCAAGACCAAACGGGAGGTCAGCATCTGCATTTTACAGTCACTCTCACCCCTCCTCCTCCTCCTGCACTTCATAAATGATATATACTGTGTGTCTGTTTTTCAGTTTGAGCAAAATCAGTATATCTCTCCCACCCTTCATCTCTGGGGCCGCAGTAGCTCATTGGGGTGACAGTAGCTCAGTTCATGGGGACTTGAGTTGGGAACTTGAGGGTTGTTGGTTCAAGTCCCCATCCAGACCAAATATGGAGCATGGACTGGTAGCTGGAGAAGTGCCAGTTCGCCCCCTGGGCTAGGGTGCACCTGCACAAGGCAATGAACCCCCAACTGCTCGGGGGCCTCTCAGTGGGCAGCCGCCTTGCTCTGACATCCCTCCTTTTAATGCATGTATGGGTCCTCTTTGTGCGTGTGTGTGTGTTTTTTGGGCCTGTGTGTGTATATAAAAATTGAATTTCTCCTCGGGGATTAATAAAATAAATCTTGTTCTTCTTCTTCTGTCCATAGATGTACGCAGAAAAGAGGCGTAGCAGCGACAACATGTCGGCCAGATCGTCAGACAGTGATATGAGCGATGTGTCGGCCCTCTCCCGTGCCAGCAGTGCCTCCCGCCTCAGTAGCACCAGCTACATGTCTATCCAATCAGAACGACCTGGAGGACGACTCAGGTCAGTCCTCACTGGTCACATGTTCAGTTTAAATGTACAGAGTCTATATGTTGGGGTGATTTGGGGTTATATGTCATATACATGCTAATCACTGTGTCTTTCTGTTTTATTTCTGCATGCCAACTGCTGCATGTTTCTGTCCTCCTGCATGATATCTCATCTCTCCTCACACACACTCTTAAACATACTGACACATACTACAAAATGAACTCAGATCCAAGTCATTAGAGGAAGAGAAGAAGGACAGGAGGATCTCGTGGGGGGTAGAAGGAGAGGAGGACAGGAGGAGGGCAACAGGGAAGAGACGTTTCTCTGAGGAGTTGAAGCGCAGGAGACACACAGTAGCTGGAGACACGAGGGAGTCCAGGTAAAGATCAATAGATCTCAAATGGTGAATTCACCAACGATGGCAGACGATTCGTCTTCTCACTGTAGGATCCTCAGGATAGAATCCCTAAATCCCCGTTCATTTAAGACAGCAGAACGCAGCTGGAAGTTTTTAATGGCAGCAATTACATATAAATAAAGTCCTTATTGATCTCTGTAGGGAAGGTGTTCTCTTTGTGCTTGCTGCCTCCAAAGGGAGGTCAGAGGTCAGCTCGATCTTGCAGACAGAGTCCTGCTCAAGGACACAAGCAGCGTGGATACTCACTGACACATGAGGTTAAACTTGGATCCATTGTCCCTGCTTATTTTTGAGATGCAGCTATTCACATGGGAATATCTGAGTGGAAGCATTTCATTCAAGTTGAGCCCAGTGTCTCACTTTTCCTTACAATCTTACCTGCTCCTAAAGTCATCATGTACCTACAGTGGTAGTCTAAGGTAAAGGGGCACTCCACCAGCACATTTTACACACATGGGTCCTGACACACCAAGCCAACGTTCACCCGTCGGTCAGTGTTGGGCTATCAGTGAGCATCTGTTGCCCTAGTTTTTGCGTTGTGTCCCACACCTTTGTTGACTGTTTTTCAGCCGATTCAGCATGTTGATTTGGCATTGTGCTGGCAGAGCTTGTCGGTAAATGAAATCAGTTCAGCTTAGTGCATGAGCCATTAAGCTCCGTAGCAGAAATGGTAAGTAATGGTGTTATTTTTCGCTGACACACAGTAAATATGATTCTTTAAACATCAGGTTGTGTTGCTAATGTGTTAACTAACTAGCTAACTAACTAGCATCTTAAATATGTCATGTTGGTCTTGGATGGTTTTGAATGACAAATACAAAATGCTGGTGTGAAGACTTATTTCATCTCACTCGGGCGCATAATGTACAAGCTGGTTTTTTGTGGCCTCTGGTTTTTGCGGTGTGACCAGGTGGAGACACAGGTGATGAAAGGCAACACAACAGTTGGTGTTCATCACTACTATTTCTTTGATGTCAGCTTGGTTTCCCTTGGCCTTTAAAGTTAGTTTACACGTCACGAGGAGGACGCCTCAGCCTGTGAAAATGGTTTTCTATCTGTGGACCTTGAGCGGCTTAGTCAGGGTTTGAGTAACCCTGATGATGTCATCGGAGACACCAGGGAGGTGAAACACTAACTGGCCTTATAAATTAGCTTTTTTTCCAACAGATTTTAAAATGTTAAAAGACTTAAGCTGAAGTTAAATAAAATCTTGATCTTTTCGTTTATGCATAAACAACTGAATAAATTTGACAAACCTGAAACTGCCCCAACTTCATATTTGTTAAGTAATAAATAGTTAAATGAATGTAGAGTTTTAAAAAAGCACATACATTTAAAAATTGCTGACATATAATAATAATATAAAAAAATAAATAAATAAATAACAAGCACAGCTGAGCTGACATAAATAATTGAAAGGTAGATGAAAATAAAATCTCACAAAAAATCCCCATGTTCTCTGTATGTGCACACAGTAAGGCACACACACACATTCACACACATCCCCTGCTGACCAGTAGCAGTGTGCTGACAGGGACAAACGACCCTATCCCAGTGGTCCTCAGTGGGCCAAGTGGTGATGTAGTGCAGCTTATTAGCTGGCTAATGTATTGAGGTCTGGGAGGAGGAGAGAGAGGGCGCTGGCCTTTATGGCCTTACCACAGATCAATCCAAATAGAGCGTTATAAAAGCACAGCCCCACGGCCTTTGACACACTTTCAAGAGTCGGGGGTGAGAAAGAGAAAGAGAGATCATCGCTATCACAAACTTATGTCCAAAAATATGTGGACACTCGGACCTTATCCTGTTTTAGAAGGCTATGATCAGACAAACAGTTTGAATTCAACATAGCAGACGATGGAGGCAGCAACTATTAATAAAAACTGGTCAGCTTTATGAGGACTGTGATATGACTTATCTATAATTAACACCAGAGGTCAGTTTTTAGAGAGACAAGGGGACAGAATTAGTAATCCAGTGATGTACAGGGACAGCTGGCCTCAGGTCAGTTTTCACTCAGAGTGGGATATTAACATCTGTATTCAGTGGATAGTCTCACATCTGCTTCAGGCCAGTTTGATAACAGCTTATGGAAGTGACGGAGCACATACATATGAAGGGACACAGAGGTGGCGTGAGGTTGACACTTGAACCTCCCTTACGGCCTCCTCTATTGCCTATTGCCTATTGTTCTTCAATCCTTTCCCTCTGCTTGATATGCTTATATTTTGATATATTGCCCCCCTTTAATTTTATATAATTCATTGAATGCTGCTCATGTTTCCTGTTTTTACTTGAATATAGTGAAATAATTGTGACTTCTTGCCTTTCATTGTACTTGTTGGCATATTCTTAGTATCACTTGCTGTTGGATAAATATTTTGTATTTCAAAAAGTTGACCTTTCAGAATAGAAACATAAAAAGATTTCCTGCTGATATCCGTACATTTTTGAAATAACAAAATATTGAACAGTTTAGTTACAGTCCAGCTTGATTTTATTGTATGGGTTGCATCCGACACGGCACATAAAGGCGTAACAATTTTCATTTTGTCCAATACTGTGTCTTGTTTCTTTTATATTTGTGTCTGTGTATGTGTGTGTGTGTGTGTGTTTGTGCAACCCCCTCTGCATGTTTTAGATCCCTCCGATCCCTCCTTGCATGCATCCTGTGTTGTGACTGCCCGGACCACCTCCATCCTCCAGACCTAGACCATCCCCTCCCATCCTCTTCCTCTGCTGCACGACCTTCCCTAACCCCCCTGCAGGGGGCGGTGGAGAGGCCTCAAACCACCCTCCCGCTTCCCAGTCGTTCACTGGATCCCCTGACTGTCAGGGGCCCACTGGCAGTGGGGACTACAGGTGACAGGGGCAGCATAGCTGGGCTCTCCTGCAGCACTCTGACCCCCTCTGAGGGGATGGACATGAGGCGGCTCCTCCGAACCCCTAGGAGGCAGCATCGAGCTCTGAGCTGCTTCTGTCCGTGTGTTGTGGCTCGTTTGAGAAGAATGAACTTTAATACATGATACGATTATTTACTTTGGACTGCTAGAACATGAAATTGTTGCACCAAACATCGAACTAGCAAACACTAATGTTTAAGTTTTAGTTATTTGGTAGGGTCTGTCGTCATCATTTCCCTTCTCTGGAGTCCCAGGTGTGTCTGTTTGATTAAACATCTTTCCTCAGTCAGTGTGAAATGTTTTAATTATCATCACCCACCTCTCTTTGTCCACCATGCTGTTTCTGAAGGTACGGTACAGAGGAAGTTACTGAGGCCTTAATAGCATCTCTGTCTCCAGTACAAGCCTCACTTAGTGTCTTTTCTCCCTCCAGTCGGCAGATGCGATCGGTGGGCCGCAGCATGCTGAAGAGCTCCAGCGTGAGCGGGGAGATCTACACCCAGGAGCGCACCGACGGCAGCCAATCAGACACGGCGCTGGGCACAGTGGGTGGCGGCAGCAAGAAGAGACGCTCCAGCCTCAGCGCGCGGGTGGTGGCCATCGTTGGCAACCGCCGCAGCCGCAGCACTTCACAGATCAGCGGCCCTGGTGAGTTACCGTGGCAACCCTGAAATAGTCAGTGGTGACTCTGTATCCCATGAGGAATGTGTGATGTGAATGTGGCAAAAAGAAGGTTGGAGACTGAATATTATCATGCACTTAGAAAAAATATAATAGGTATAAGTATTTATTTCATTGGAATGAGAAGTAATTGGTCGTGACATGTGCAGCGACGTCAACAGCATCTTTGACCTCAACTCACTAAATGTTCTGCCAGGAGGTTTCTTTGTGTCTGCCGGCACCAGAAGAGCTCTTGATGCCAAAGTACATGTAGTACATTTGCAGTGGTTAGCAGTGTCGCCTCACAGCAAGATGGTTCCTGGTTTGAACCCTGGGATGGGAGAGCCCCTCTGTGTGGAGTTTGCATGTTCTCCCTGTTTCAGCAGTGGGTTTTGGCCGTAAGTGTGATTGTGAGCTCCAGCTCCAGCCCCCCCACGACCCCTGACAGGATAAGCGGGTACAGAAAATGAATGAATGGAGGTGATGGTGGATGGCGTGACAACTGGGCGAGATGCCTGCCAAGCTGCAGACAACTGTTTGGGACGAACATATAACACAGCCGGTTGTTTTTCAGAGCCCTGTCGCTGTTTCCAGCTACCAAATATGGGTGTTTTTTTAGGAACCTGTTGTTGTTAACTGAGACATTGTTAACTGGGAACTGGGTATTTTAGGCCAAAACATAATCTTTTCCAAACCATAACCAAGTCGTTTTTGTGCCTAAACCATAACCACACATTAACCACAGTATTGTTAAAACGTAAAGAAATGTAAAATCTCCATCTGTCTACAACATAATACATAATAAAGAATAATGTAACATGTTTGTGGTTTGCAGAAAGGCACAATGCAAACTCTAATTGATTTAGTAGTTCAAAGCTTAACATACCTTTAGTGCGTCTGGATTACTGCTCTCCACAACACACTCTAAAGCCCAATACGAACACCATTCTACATTCAAGCATTAAAGCATTTACTTAAAATGACACAACATGTAATCTATGATTCAGAATCTGCACAGAATTACGAGACTGTGTTTCACATAGAGACGATCCAAAAGATCTGCCCAGAGGAGCAGGCTGTACCGAAGCACCACAAATTGCCAGTGTCCTTTTGTTCTGTAGGAGACAAACCTCTGCTGCTCTCGCGCTCGTTATAAAGACAAACAACAAAATAATGTGTTTCGGGGAGTTTCCGAACATCGTAGCCAGCTGAGAGCCCCTAGCAGCTCAGCTTCCAGTCACAACAGAGTCTGGCTGGTCTGAACCCAACGTGCACTTTTACCACAGGGGGGTGTAAGGCTCATGATGAAAGCCAAACACTGTACTCCCTTTCTTTGTAGTGGACATAAAAAGCTATTAGAGAACATTAAGCCTAAGGGGGTCTCTCGCCGTCTCTCCCTGATGTAGCGGAAGAAAGGAAGTAGAGATAGCACAGAGATAAACATACTTTTGAAAAATCTTTCCTGTTCATGGGAGCAAAAGCAGGTAAATGAGTTCATGTTTGACATTTTAAACTTTAGAATTTTAGTGTTATTAAAAGAAAACTATTGCTTAACATGACATGATACATGATATGACTGCTCGGGCTGTTTAAGTGCAGCTGACCATCTCACATAGATGGATGACAGGATGCCTGGGAAGTGCAGCCACATTTTTCTCCTTGCACCAGACATGCCAATAGTATGAGTCAGAAGGTGGACGCACGCATCCCAGTTCAAGATGCCGCACACTGTTTGGGTTTTTTTTCTGCCCAACAATTTCCTGTTTACTACTGATTACCAGATTCAGCAGGACATGGGTGTGTCTTTGGCCAGGCTTCAGAAGGAGTGATCACTGACTCCCGAACTGGACCTGGAGGCTATCTTGTAATTTTCTACTTTTACAATACAAGTGAATTGTTTGAATTGGAAAAAACTTCACCCCATTGAGAAATGTGCTCTGGAAGCTGGTCCATTCCTCTGTCATGTTTGTTGTTTCTTATACACAAAATGGGTTTAAGGGGAATCCTGCTCCAAATCCAGATAAGCTTTGATTTTTGGTGGGGAGGCACTGACTTGACACATGAAGTCCAGTTGACTGGTAATGGGTCTAATGAACGCCGCCATGACGAGACCCATTGGTTTGTGGACCCCCGTTTTGAAACCTCAAGTTTGGCATACTGGCCGTCACCATCTTGGATTTTTTAGAGCCACAAGTGACCATATTTGGACAGGAGGGTGGAGCTGTGGAGGAACAAGGGGTAGATCTGAGTCATAGATAGTGGTGACACCTCAAAGACAGTAAAGTGGCTTTCCAGTAAGTCATTACGTTGGTGCATGTCAACAAGATCTAATTGACGCATCAGCTGTTTGGCTGAGTCCACACCTTTCTCTTGCTTTTCTTGCTCTTATTACTGACATTCAATACAAGTTGTATCCAGAGACTGTCAAGCAGAGTTAGGTAGCTTAATCGCATTGATTATCGCTTGGCTATCTTCTTCACTGACGCCATGACCGCAGTCAGAAAACTGTGTGCTTCTCAGTCATGCAACACACCTGGCTGCATTTCCTTGCCCATCTAAATTGTAAAGCAGTCACATCCTTGATTATGCCTAACTTAATCCTTAATAAAATTTAAACGGGTGAGTTATTTAAAAAAATCACCCTTCCATAGCTGTCACGAATGTTGAAAATAGAAACTAAAAACACTGGAGAAAACTATGGAGACTGAGCTTTTGGAGCCAGGTTCAAGTCGCCATTAGAGGAACTGCAGCTTTTACCCTTTTGCGTTGGCTTCATTTTTTAGCTCAGAAGGTTGCTGCTTGGAGATGCTTCGTAGTTGCATTATGGAAAACGTGGGGTCCAGCATTTCAGCTTGACCCATGATACTGGATTCACATTGGACCTGGAAGTGCACCATTTTCCGTGGAGCGCTGCCTGCTACGTTTTGGCGCCCATGTTAAGCAAATTAGCTGTTCACACTGGACGTGCCACAGCATCGAGCTCCCTTACCTGCTCGCGATCTGACAGTTTCAGCACCTTGTCCATTTTCTTCTTATAAGGAAAAATATTTGCAGAGCGTCACCTCGTCCTCAGTGGATAACCGTAGATTACTCTGTTTTTCCTTGAGTGACAGGGGTTAAAACGTTGTCTGTTTCAATAATGCTATGGTTTAGAGTCAATGTTCAGGCACTTATTTCATCATTGCTGTTTCCTGGTAGACTTGCACCTACACTTATTGTCGTTCTACTGTAAACTGAATCTGCATGAGACAGGTCAAAACGAGTTTGGAAAGCACTTTTCCCCCTTTTTGTCTAGTTAAATAAAGGTGAAAAGTAACCACGACAGCATCTTTGACTACAATATTGTGAATTTCCTGTCTCTCCTCTTTCACTCAGAGGGGAAGAGTAAGAAGGAGAAGGGCGCACCGATCCAAAGGAGCACAGAAACCGGCATGGCAGTCGAGCTGACCAGGAACATGAGTCGCCAGCCCAGCAGAGAGTCCAACAACGGCAGCATGAACAGCTACAACTCTGAGGGAAAGTCAGTAAACCACACATTTCTTGCTTTGATCACTTTCCATCAACATCCTACACTCTCACTCTAACCATTTTTCGTCTCTTAAAGGAGAACGCCAAGTGCTTGTCCATTTATTTCTGTCTACTTTACGTTTCCACCTGGATGTGACAGTAAAGTTTGTTTGCCAGCATGTTCTGAGAGATTATATCCAGGCGCACACTTCCGTCTCAGCATGAAGGTGTCAGCTGACTGACAGTAAACAGAGTGTAATATAATGAGCGGACTGTTAAAGACAAAACTGCGGCTCAGTGAGGCGATGATAAAACACAAACTTTGACTGAATCAAATTAAGGCCTGGTGTTTTCTCTGATGGATTATCTCGCTTGGGCAATTTCCGAGATGTTTTTCACGCTGTAAATAATGACTGGCAGCAAATTGGTTCTCCTGAGGGCAGTAAAATGAGTCTCACAGTGTGCGGACTGTGTGGTGATATTGGTCATTTATGTTGTAATTAATTCATGTTTATGTTTTTTTTTCTGTGGTAGTTTGATCTTCTCTGGAGTCAATCTGGGTGCCAGCAGTCAGTTCAGTGACTTCCTGGACGGCCTAGGACCGGCTCAGCTAGTGGGGAGACAAACACTGGCCACTCCAGCCATAGGTAAGATACTGATGGTATTCTCCTCTCCTCTCCTCTCCTCTCCTCTCTTAACTACTCATCTCTTCCCTTCCCTACTCGTCGTGTCTCATCTCACCTCGTCTCGTTTCGTCCCTTCCCTACTCATCTCGTCTCATCCCTTGCCTTCCCTTCCCTTCCCTTCCCTTCCCTTCCCGTCTCACGTCTCGTCTCGTCTCGTCCCGTCCCTTCCCTTCCCTTCCCTTTCCTTCCCTTCCCTTCCCTTCTCGTCTGGTCTGGTCCGGTCTCGTCCCTTCCCTTACCTTCCGGTCTCGTCTTGCCTTGTCTTTTCCCTTCCCGTCTCATCTTGTCTCATCTCGTCTCATCACCTCTCCTCTCTTAACTACTCATCTCTTCCCTTCCCTACTCGTCGTGTCTCATCTCACCTCGTCTCGTCTCGTCCCTTCCCTACTCATCTCGTCTCATCCCTTCCCTTCCCTTCCCTTCCCTTCCCTTCCCGTCTCACGTCTCGTCTCATCTCGTCCCTTCCCTTCCCTTCCCTTCCCTTCTCGTCTGGTCTGGTCCGGTCTGGTCCCTTCCCGTCCTTTCCCTACTCATCTCGTGTCGTCCCTTCCCTTACCTTCCGGTCTCGTCTTGCCTTGTCTTTTCCCTTCCCGTCTCATCTTGTCTCATCTTGTCTCATCTCATCTTTTCCCTTCCCTACTCGTCTCGTCTCGTCTCGTCTCGTCCCATCCCTTCCCTTCCCTACTCATCTCGTCTCATCTCTTCCCATCCCTTCCCAACCCTTCCCTTCGCGTCCCTTTGGGTCCCGTCCTGTCCTGTCCCGTCCCGTCTCGTCCCGTCTCATCCCGTCTCATCCTGTCCCTCTCCTCTCCTCTCCTCTCCTCTCCTCTCCTCTCCTTCACAGGAACCTATTTGTCGTTGTTTGTGTGTGGGAATTATTAGTGTGTGACACATCACATTATCTTAAATTATTTTTCATATTTTTTTTCCACTTAAAACGAATGTGGATGTGTTACTGGTGCTCTGATGTAATTTTAAAAAGTTTATAATGAATTCTTGAATCATCTTATTAACAAATATTTCATGAGTAATAGTTGGCTGTCAATTGTTGTTTGATATTAGTAAATAAAAACAAACATTTATGACGTGATAAGAGTGATAACATTGTTAAGGCTGTTGTGCACAGATATAAATACAGGTGTGCTTTGAGATTTTTGCTTGCCCTTTGGAGTGCCCTGGAAAACCACTGGTGTATAGTATTGTTGCTGCTTTCATCCGTGTCAATAATAAAAGATCTCTAATCATATATTTCTGGGGGCTGAGTGTGCAGTCAAACCCTGGTGGTTTCTTTTTTCTGACTATCATCATCGTCTTCTCACTCGTCTGTGTTTCCCAGGTGACATCCAGATTGGCATGATGGAGAAAAAGGGTCAGCTGGAGGTAGAAGTTATTAGAGCACGAGGACTCGTACAAAAACCAGGATCCAAATCCCTCCCTGGTGAGAACCTGACCAACCTTAAGATACCAAAAAGCAACTAATCCCTCTCTAGACAGCAGTTACACACTCCTCACATTATTATATGATATACACTTTACATCCAGTGATATCCAGATACACCCAGACAACGCTTGCTCTGCACTTTCCCTTCCCATAAAGATATAACCAGCTGTGAGATCTGATCTAGATTACATTGAAGAGTCGCTGTGTTCCTCACTAATGGCCTTTTTATTGCTTTGTCTCTGCCTTCAGCTCCATATGTCAAGGTCTATCTGCTGAATAATGGAGCGTACGTAGCCAAAAAGAAAACCAAGATTGCACGGAAAACACTTGACCCACTGTACCAGCAAGCACTGCTATTTGAGGAAAGCCCACAGGGTAAAGTCTTACAGGTGAGCTGAAGATGTATTTCTCTTCATCATAAAGTTTTTTTTTTCCAAACCCATGCTGGTAAAATTTATTTTAGCTTGAACTAGACTGCTGTGTAATTTGACAGAAAATAATTTTCCTTCAGGTGATTGTATGGGGCGATTACGGCCGCATGGACCATAAAAGCTTCATGGGAGTTGCACAAATCCTATTGGAGGAACTGGACTTATCAAGCACAGTCATTGGTTGGTACAAGTTGTTCCCACCGTCCTCCTTGGTGGATCCGACACTTGCCTCCTTAACGCGGCGGGCTTCCCAGTCGTCACTTGACAGCTCCTCCGGACCTCCCGGCGTCCGATCCTAGTGGACCAACAGCTCTACACCGCTCGACAAGTAACAAACTCATGAAACGTACTGTAGAGAGAAACAAACAAAAAACAAGATGGCAGAAATGTAGAACAACAACAATCAGAAACAGTCAAAATGAGAAAGCTTTGTTGAGATCTGACAATCACTCCTGTTGCGGTTAATTTTGTCTGTTGTACGGAGCGCCACATTTCAGTGTTTCATATCCATTCAGAAAATCTCATCATGTTTCTCTGTGTATGCTGAAGAAGCAGGGCTGTCGAACAGACAACACGCAGTAGCTCTCAAGACGGGAGACAAAAAATAAAAGAGTGTCAGAGAATCAAATGAAGCAGGGTGATTTTTAACTGAATCAACAATAGCAAAGAAATGTACGTAAGCATCGGAATGTATGGACTCGAGACAGAGGTAATCACCCTCCACACCTGCAGGGGGCGCAGTCCTCCCTGCAGTGGCCTCCTCCAGAACCCCAACAGACTGCCGGCACTCCTGACCCCAGGCAGGGTGCCCCCGTATGGGTATTCAGTCTGGAAGCACAGGGCCTTCTTCTGGTGCCTAGACCTTGGAGCCGCATCACTGGTCCCTCTCTCTGTCGAAAAATCCTCTTTTCAGTATGTTTACCATGGCTGCTCTGAGGCCACACTGTTTTAGCGTGTTTGCTTTGTCGTTCATTTCTTTCCCTTTGTTACTACTGGCACAAAATGTTTTTACAGTGCGTAAAATGCTCATGATAATGTTGTCAGTCTGGTGTGTGCATGGAGAGAAAAACAAAACACAAGTGATTAAAAAAAAAGGATATAAAAACTATTAAATGTCTGCAAGTGTTATGCGGGGGGGGGACTGGTGATGATGACACAGCTTAGATTTTTACACTTGACAGTGAGATTAGCGTGCAGCGTTGTTTTCTTTGTTCCACCGCTGGCAAACGTCCAGGCCAGTTGTCTTTGTATAGATGTATATTAGGCCTCCCAGGAGGTTGACCAATAAATAAAATTTATGTCACTTTGAAATATCACAAGGGTAAAAACATCACTGTAAAAAAAAAAAAAAGTAACCGCAAAAGCAAGATAGGGCCGTCTAATTTTTCACATTTTTTGGGGAGTGCAGTCCCTCACCCCAGCACGTTTCTATCCGACCCTTAGTTTACATTCTTTTGAAATTTAAACACAAGCACAAGAGCTTGATTTTTTTACAACAAAAAGTTTAACTTTTTGAAAAAAACACGTAGTTGAAAAAAAGAAAAAAAGCAACAATCCCGTCACATTCATTTCTCTGTCTAGTTGTTGATAGACAAACAGAAAAAGAAGAATCACTCACAGTTTCCCTTGTGCATCTCTGTGAATGTGAAAGTAACCAATCAGACTGATCTGTCGGGACTCCAAAACCAATGCTCATCCTCCGTTCGGCCTGCAGTCTCCGCCCACTGGGGAAAAAAAGGCGGCGGCCAGCATGACTTTGGAATCTGTTCCAAGCTGCATGCACATTTTTGTAAAACAAAACAGATACAGGAAAAAAAGATAACTGATCTAGATACGTGTGTTAGTTCCACATACTGTAGGGCCGCTTGTATGTTGCATGCAGTTGTACAGTTTGCTCGTACTTGAATATTAAAGAGATAAAACCAAGAAACCGAAGCCATTCCCATTACGCAACGACATCTGAACTCAACTGCAGTCAGTTCCACATCCCCCCAGTCCGGTGCTGAATGTCTCTCAAACTAAATCCCAAGATTACCTTGATGTCTCTCCTCGACCCTCTGGAAGATGTACAGTACTGTACAGTGGTACTGAGCAGACCTCACAGCCCCTCTTACTGTTATTCCACATCATAGTATACCTCCAAGGGGCTGAGATGATGTATGAATAAATATGTACAAATCAGATCCACTTATATGGAAATATGAATTATGTTTCAACATAATGATTTCAGATATGCTAACACATGAACTGTTAAGTTATATAAAGATTAAATACAGATGCACAGAGAGTAATACACTGTAAATACTCAACAGCCATTCACTGGGTTTTCATTGGGTTCAGTGATATTTGCAAAGGGGCCAAGTCATATAACGAGGAGCGATTAATACGTCATTAGGGACCATGCAGTGGGACGACGCAAGACGATGGACTTGGGTCACAAACTGGCCGAACTTAAACAAACGGCCACAAAACTTACAGGTGTACCATGAAGCAGTCATCTGAACACTTCTTTGTGCTTCAAACCCAATGTCCGAACCCCGGCCATGTTCAGTCCCACTTCAGAAGAGTTGATGACTTTTCTTTTCATTGTCCGGTGAAGCTGGTTTTCCTTTTTCTTTTTTTTCTTTCTTTTCTTTGTCAGTATTAACAGGAAAAAAAATGCTGATTGTTTACAACTTCTGTGTTCCACTGAAACAAAAAGAAAATTAGAAAAAAGTAAAGCATTCACTGCAACATTACTTGTTTGTATAACAGATGTGGCTCAAATGATGTGTATGTTTTATATTTAAAAAAAAGTTCATTTTTATTATTTACAAATAAAAAGAATGTGTGGAAGAAGACTGCTTCTCGACTCGCCTTCATTTCAAAGTCCCCCTCAAATCTTTAAAAAATACATTTTCTGTGTTTTTATTTGTATTATTCTTTACCTTTGACACAAGGTCAAAAGGTCAAGTATTTCAAAATGTGATTCACTGCCACGTTTGTGGGAACGTAAATATTTTCCTTAGTCACAAAAATGTCCTCAGTCTATGCTTCACTTCTACTGTATGTCTCAGCAAAACAGCTCCTCCTTAAACCTACCAAACTACTGTAAATGTTGCTCTGTGGGCAACATGTTGACAAGATTGTCAGGGCAACTTAAAGATCAAGCGGTAACCTCAGGCGCTGAAAAATGATGCCAATGCAGAAGTGCCAAAACTGCAGTTCCTCTAATGGCCACTTGAGGCTGGCTCCAAGAGTGAATCAATCCCCACAGACCCTCATGGTACAATGCTAAAATTTACAGCAGAAATGAACATGTTTACAGCCTGGTACAAAAATGGTTTTGGTCTGTATATCTAATTTCAACATTCATGAAAACTGCATGTTGAATTTTTCATAAATGTTTAAATGCTATTAAGGCTTAAAGTTATGCATAATTAAAGACAAGGCTGCTTAGAGTGACATGTGCATGCTGTCCGCTGACAAGTGATAACATTGGTTACGTAATGTAACCCTGGCGTAACCCCAGATTCACCGTAGATTATAGGCGTAGGTGTAGCTGTTGCTATTTCAGTGTGTTTTCACTTCATGAAAGTTATTTATGGCACTTTGTTTGCCCCAAAAAAGTCTTGCTCAGAGTTTTGTTGTCTTAAATGACCTCCAGGAATCAGCTATTCAGTTTCTCCGGTAAATACATTTTGTTTTAATAGTTTTTTTACTTGTTTTATCAGCAACAAAAATTTGCATCAGTATAAATATTAGTTAACTATAGTTGTCCGTAGCAACCATGCTAGCAGCTAGCACTAGGGTTATCGCTGCTGAAAAATCCAAGATGGCGACGGCTCAAAATGGGAATCAACAAACCAGTGGGTGGCTACATCTATTATTTTTTACAGCCTTTGAGTCAAAATTGTGTTTTCAGCTTGTTGCACTGTTCCCAAGTGGCCAAAAAAGGAGATGCAACTCAATCAGTGCTTTACTACTAATATGTGTTTACTTTAAAATTATTAACATTTTGAATGCTAGTGTTTTGTAGAGGTGGATAGTAGAGGTACATTTCTGCAGAGCAGCAGTTTTATAATCAAGTATTTGTTGACAAAAGCAAGTGACAGCTGTGCACTACTACATATAACACCGTAACTCTATGCCTCGGGTGTTACGAGGCGTCTCACTGAAGAGCATGTTGAACCAAAACGGCCTCACGTGTGACCTCACATATGATACAGTGCAGCAGAGGGCTCGAGAGATTTATGTTCCACATCCTTTTGTTAAATAAGCAGAGGGCCCCCTGAAACAACATCTGCAGGCAATCTCGACTCACCCTCCCACCCGCCCTGCCATGCCAGCTGGGCCCCCCCGCCCGAGTTCCCCCCGTCACAGCGTCAGGGGTCACGACCGCCGTGTACAAAGCGTAGATATGGACCATGGTGGAAAAGAGAACCACAGATCATACATGTCAGAGGCCACGATGAAATTTCCATGCTGCTCCCAGGAAATGGGTTAATCTATCTAATCAGGTCAAAGGTCAATCTTCTATGGAAACAGGGACTGTGACTCCGAGTGGAATACAAACATTATGAAGTTGATTTTTAATATCATCCATTGCCATGACCTTTCCAAAGAAACCAAGTAATAAAAGTAAACAAACAAAAACTTTGGGAAAAAGCTGAATTACGTCTCCTGACATGAAAAAGACTGTTTACTTTGAGAAGTGTTCAACATGAGGCTGTATTTCTAAGGTCTTTAATCACTGAAGCCACATGACAGGGTACATGCGCTTGTTGCAGGAAACCAACTCATCATGTGACCAGATTAGATGATAACTGCCATCTGTAGGCTCACCACTGCTTTCTCTCAAGAGGAACAAGAGGAAGTGTTGAGTTCCAGTTCAGCATGTAAAGTTAGAGTAGTGGTTGTGTCCTCTGTTCCTTTTTTAGGTTGAGAAACAACAAATATCAGAAGACATACACATTTTGCGTGGGTTTCTAGTGCTTATGAACCTTTATTTATTGGCCCCTTAAGATTTGAATCATGTTTGTCTGAGAAATCTTAGTCTTTTTTTACCCATAGCATCTCACACTGTATCATATTGAAGAAGCATTAAGGCAGTTAAAATCATCTTGTTCCACACAGCTCCTGTTTTAACCTACACTAAGTGTCCACTTCATTAGGTACACCTGATACCTATCATAATCATGGTCCAATTATTACTGTCCTCTACAACTTTCAACCACATATCACATGGTCTTCGTCAGCAGATCATGTGTTTCACTTCCTATGACAACTGAGACTTCATTGCTGATGTAACTGAAAGCACTGGAGTAATTTTACCTTGAGTCGAGATTGTTTTGTCAAACATTTGATAACTTCTGCCTGTGATTTAGTATTTAGTTGTTGTTTGCTAAGAATAAGTAGTACTGTTTGATTATTCTAGATGTTCACTGTATTCAGATTAGATTTTGATAGGATTGTCTTTTGCTAGTTATTTGTTTAGTGCGAGTATTGTAGCAACACCCACATTTCCCAGCATGCTGGGCTGTATAGTTTGTAGATGCTGTTAAGTTTGCTTTTTACTGTTCCATAACGCATGTCATTTTTTTGTTATTGTCTATGGTTTATCTGCTCAGAACATGATGGTTTATGCTAGTTATTGTCATTTGTGTGTGAATATATAGTTTGCACCATTAGTGAGTTGGCTGTCACACTTCATCAGACTAGCTGTAGTAAAAACTAGTAAATATTTGTAATGTGGATATTTTCAACGTGTCATCTGTGAAATGTAAGTGGGCACTGCATTGTTGCAAACAATTCCTCTAACATATTTTGACTTTGTGTAGCCAGTACTTTGTTTTGATTTGGGTTTTGTAGTGGGTAACAATGGGCACTCGCAGTTCTTTAGATGTTACTGAATCACTAGAATCAGTTCATTTAAAAGGTTTGTTCAAAAGATTCCTTCACCCAGTCATTCAGTGCTTGGCAGGAGGAGCCCTGACTGTGTACTGCGCAGTCTGATTCACTGAACTGATACACGGCTGAGCTGCTGCTGCGTCTGCCCTGCACTGTTGAGTCTCATTACTGGCCAGCCTAACGTTTTAAGTTTGTTTTTCTGGAAACTAAGTCTGTTTGTGTGGGTTGACTCCTGGCTACATTAGACGATAGCTTGGAGAAAACGGTCCCTATGAAAGTGTATCACTGAGAAGAAATGTTTTGAATCATTCAGGGACCGGGGTTACATCGTTCACTGAGTGATTCGTTCACCTAGTGATTCGTCATGGGGTAGGCAGTCATTCATCGTTCGCACCGACCGAATTGGCAGTTCACTCCCGGCCTGCACGCTCGCTGCTGAGCCCAACTGAACTGATAAATGAACAAATCAGTTCCGGAGGTGATTCAATTCAGTACGTTCACTCAACAGATTCGTTCTTTTGAAAGATACGTTCGTGAACGACACAACACAAGTTCCTTTGATTGCTTGTTTCCGAGTGAATTAACCACAAGAAATGCAGGAACTTTCAAAGGACAGTGGATTTATTTTGCCTGCGTGCATCACATGCTCATGGTGCTTTAGTGGCCCTTCATTTTTGTATAATTCAAGAATAGAATAGAATAGAATAGAATAGAATAGAATAGATCTTTATTGTCCACAATGGGTAGACATTTGTCTTCAGCTCACCAAACAGACAAATAGCTGGTAAGACAACCATATAAAGTCATTACAAAACACTTAAACACACTAAATCAGCTCATTGTCTGTCTGTAGTTTAAAACTCATCAGTCACATTGTTGAGTTCAGGATACCGATGGCACTTGGGATACATTTTTAGTTGCCAGAGGGACTCTATAACGCCTCTCAGAAGTCAAGAGCTCAAACTGGCCAAAGAGAGGGTGGGGGCTATCTGCCAAGATACTCTTTGCTTTCTTCCTCATACTTTCTGTGAAGAGTTGGGTCGAGGGCTTTTGTGGCTTACCAAGCATTTTACTTGCCATAGTTAAATAGTTAGTTGATTTTGATTTTACTGAGAAACAATCACTACAACCTGAGTAAGTCAAGAATAAACTTTTCTGCCGAACTCCTAAACTTTTATGTACATTTCTCCCAAATTCAGGCTGACATATTTGGTATCTTTGGAAACTGCCTCCACTAAAATTTAAAATCAGGTTTTGTGGGTTTGGACAATGTTCGCCTGCACAGCATGCGACTGAAACAACTGACCGCTGCCTTTATATTTGCTTCTAAATTATGGAAACAGAGAAAACAGTGCAGTATTTGAGAATGTGGAGGAGGAAATGAACAATGGAAATAGGTAAATAAAAATGCTGGCAGTATCTGGTAAAGACTCATTCATACTCAACTGCCTCATTCATCTTTTGGTCTGGTTCACCAATATCACATGCAGCCTCCATTAAACTGTGTGAGGTTCAGGGCCTAGAAGGTATTCCTGTGACTATGTATAGCATGTACTTCAAGAGGAAACTGCAAGAATCAGAAGTGAGAGCACAAGAGAGGATTTGCATTTGAAACCTGTGAGATTGTGGTGTCCACAAAAGCTGTCTGGTGCTATAACCGCCAGTAGATGGCGTAGTTTTGTTGGAAGACAGAGGGAGTCGCTCAGTCGGTGCTCTGAGGCTGTGAATTCCCTGCAGGTAACGTCCTGCACACTCTCAGCTTTTGTAGATTAAATATGAGAACACACACTCCCGTGCCCTGTGGCCCCGTGTTACTCACACACTGAGTATTTGTGACAGGATGCTGACTCCTGCTGATGTCAGCCGCACATAAATACCGAGAGTCCGCTCTCTCCTTCCTCATTCACAATAACTTCACTGTAGGAAGTGTTTTCCTCTCGCATGTGACAGGTTGATGATGAAGAGGCTTTGGAGGGATATTGTGTGGACTACAAATAAGTCTAGAAGACAGTGTGCACTGTGCGCCTGTCAAGGGGAAGTCCGTACGGAGGCATAACTGACATCACGTTTACAGACCACTTTCACTTTAGGCTACAGTGACACAAAGGAAGCAGTTTATTCAGCCTCTTGACAACAAACCCAACGTGCTCGGAAGTCTTCCATAAACTGTGTATTGTTTGTTAAAAATACAGCAGCATCATAAGACAACATGAGAGGTTTAAAATACATTTCACCAGAGAAATGTGTCTCTCACATGCTGTTTTCTTGCAGTGGCTGCAGGACTAGCGGAGCAGGTGACCGACCAGCCTTAAAACACCGAAGCTGCAAAGTCTTTCTAATGCAAATGTCATCAAACATAACCTTATGCACGTTTACCATATTTACACAACACATGCGCCTCAGTTTGAAAAAACAAAAGCTGCATTTGGTTACGGCATAATATTTTCTGCAGATGTTCAGTGAGCCGTCCTCGGTGGTTACTTTTCCAGCCGACCAAGTGGAAAATTCATCAGAATCCATGTTACCTGATAGGCTTTTCAAAAACGTGGTGTAATTTGGAACTTTTTCGGGAAATTAAATTACACCAGGAGCGACGGTTGCTCGTTGCATTTCTGCTGCCTCGGCGCAACACCACCACTGAAAAAAACTCCTGCAGGCCATAAGCTTTATTCTTATGTTATGTGGAGGTGAGATAAGATCGAATTGTTTACTCTGACACCAGGTTTAAGATAAAGTCCCTCGCGGGCACGACCAGCACAGATGCGCATCTGCTGCCGTGGACGCGCAGCTCTGTGTAGAAGCAACAGGCGGTAAAGCGCACTGGGAAGAGAGCCTGGGTTGAAAAATAATGCTAAAAATATCTTCCCTCCAGCTCCGCCGGACACATACTGTATCTATCAGTTGTTATGTTGTCACATTGGACGGCACCGTGATCGGGGCAGGCGCGTGGATACCTTTACGCGCGGCGGCAGCTGTGTAAATGACTTGTGAAGAGGTTGATGCAAGAGGAAAGAGGGCGGTCAAAGTGTGACGGTAAACAGTGTGCCTTTCTCTGGCAACGGTTTCCCTCCCAGCGCCTCTTAGACTACGTCTCGCACGTGTATTGTATTGTTCGTCCAGGGCACAGCTGCCGGCACAGGACACGCATGCTTGAAAAGACCATCGCGCACTTGATGCCCGCTTTGGTGATGCCATGCCCCGGAACCACAGCGGAGACGAAGGCGGCACCGGGCTCTGGATGAGGACGTCGCCGGGGCACCGTACCGAAGGCTACGGCTTGAAAGATGTGGAGTGCGGACGAAGGATGATGAACAACGCGGGAGACGGTTTGCTGTCAGCCTCCACCGCAGCAGCAGGTGCTGCCGGGTCCGAGAGCCTGAGGGGGAAGCAGGGAGCCCGGCTCAGCCTGCTGGGGAAGCCGCTCATATACAGCGCGCAGAGCGGCCGGAGAAACGTGCGCTACCGGCGGCTCCAAAACTACCTGTACAACGTGCTGGAGAGACCGAGAGCCTGGGCATTCATCTACCATGCGTTTGTGTAAGTTTATCTCCATCATTTGCATGTGGGATAGTCTGTTTGGGAGCTCTGGAGTTGCACACCTGTTGATGCTGTTTCACCTTCTCTGCAGGACACACTCAAAATGACACTATGTTTTATCTAACAGGGACATATTGTTTACATGTTTAGTGAGATCATCTTTGTGTATAGCACAGGAACAACACCTCGTTATCAGTGACAATAGCAAAGCTGACAAAGAAAGCCCTCTCTCTGCTGTTTGAATGAGCCAGATGAAATCCATGTACAGGCTTGTGACACATTATTTACCTTGGTGACAGTACAGGAGTCTTTGTTTTGCAGTGGATCTTAAATTTAAGGTTTAACAGACTAAACTCTCAGTGCAACTGCAGTTTCACTATGAATATAAAACATCATAGATTTTTTTTTTCATTGACTTCTTCCTTTTTTAGGCCTTCAGCTGTGAATAAAGTTTCACATTTACACTGTTGAAACCAACCCAGACTCTTTTGGCTCTAGAGGGTCAAGAGTCAGGAACATCTTTAGCCTTCCTGTCTGCTTGCCATCATTCTTGGCCTCCCAACCAGCTGCGTTTGATTTCCCGCGTGCGACTTGCTATGGCATCATGAACTGTCTCTGAGAGGAAGGAAGTTGAGACACATGCTGGCTGTTGAGCACCATCTTTTTTTTGGTGTGTGGGTGGGGTATGTGTGTGTCTGTGCAGCAGGAGGAGTGGTTGTAACGAGAGGAGGGGTGGCGGTGCACACACTGCTTGAGCTGTTGCACTTCATCCAAGTCAGCTCATGAAACTGATAACTTTTCCTTTTAAAGCATCCTTGGGGCAGCTTGTGCATCAAATGATACACAGGGTGGCACTTAGAGTTTATGTGGAGTGTCTGCTGCATGCCGTCTTAAATGTGATATGTTCAGTGATGTTTAGTAAAAAAAAAAAACATGCTGCTTTTTACAGCCAGTTTCACACTACAGGCGTCGCAGTGGAACAGCCAAATAAATAGTGAAACACAAAGTGCAGGGAGGTTGGTGATGTAAGGACATTATTTATCCAGCTTGGTTGCTAAGGGGACAATGAGTTTATTCACTTTATTCAAAAGACAAATTTGTACCACTGACTCTCTAACAACTGCCTACTTGTCTCCTTAATGTAGCAATTTACACCCCAACATGAAAGCAGATGACACAGCACAGCTAATAAGCTATGACAGCATCCTCCATTCTCGACTTTCTGACTCGATGTTACCTCAAAGGTTAGCACTGTTCAGACACTGGTCAGCTGTGCTAATTTGTGTGTCATAGCTCAACAAAGGTTGAATTCCACACAGAGATAAAAGTAGATCTGCTAAATCCCTGCTGGTGAGTCCACTGATTGTGATAACTCAAATTGAATGTAGCTGTTTTAACTGTTGGACTATGTGGAATGTGTGACTGGGCCTTAACTCCAGCAAGTCTCTCCTATCAGCCCAGTTTGCACAAGAACTGGACATCCTAAATTCAGTTATTTGCTTTGAGTGAATTAGAGGAGCTGGGTCCAGTATTTGTACAAAAGGAGTCTGTTTGGTATCCTAGATTTCCATGTGATAAACTCTCCTTTATCTAAACTGCTGTGCATCATGGGCAACACTTTCTTATCCAGAACATGACTATCATTAATATGGATAGCCTTTAACATTTTACGCAATGTCCTGTGGCTGTGTGGCATTTTATGTTTCTGTAAACCATGGATATGTTACATTTACATTTGTTATGCAGCAAATACTTTGAAACTTTTGATTTCTTTGCATTTTTACAATTCTGTGGTTAGTGTGTGGTTAGGTTTAGGCACAGAAGCTTGGTTATGGTTAGGAAAAGATCATGTTTTGACCTAAAATACCCAGTTTTGGTGGCACAATCCCAGATGGAAATGCAGCAATATCTCTGTTTAAAAAAATGTTTTGGTGGTACAAACATGGCCTGAAATGCAGTGATGTCTTATTTAAAAAAAAAAAAAAAAAGAAAAAAGGAACTTTTGGGGCGCCGGTGGCTTAGTGGATAGAGCAGGCGTCTCATGTACAAGGCTGTTGCCGCAGCGGCCCAGGTTTGACTTCAGCCTGTGGCCCTTTGCTGCATGTCACTCCCTCACTTGACTGTCCTATCAATTAAAGGCTAAAGTTCCCCCAAAAATATCTTAAAAAAGAAAGAAAAGGAATTTTTTGGCGCTGGAAATGCAGCAATGTCTTGTTTCAAAAAGCAACCACTTTCTGTCTGTGGCACCATTCTGCCTGGAAACACAGCGTAAAAAACAACCAGTTTTGGTGGGGCAAACTGAGCTGGAAATGCAGTGATGTCTCTGTAAAAAAAAACACGCATGCTTTTGGTGGCACAGTCCTGGCTAGAAATGCAGTGATGTCTCGGTAAAAAAAAACGCTCGCTTTCTGTGGCACAGTCCTGGCTAGAAATGCAGTGATGTCTCGGTTAAAAAAAACGCTCGCTTTCTGTGGCACAGTCCTGGCTAGAAATGCAGTGATGTCTCGGTTAAAAAAAAAGCTCGCTTTCTGTGGCACAGTCCTGGCTAGAAATGCAGTGATGTCTCGGTAAAAAGAACAACCCTTTTTTGTGGCACAGTCACTGCTGGAATCACTGAGACACAGTGATCTGTCATTAAAAAAAAAAAATTCTGTGACACAATCCCAGCTAGAAAAACAGTAATGGCTCTGTAAAAACCAACCACTTTTTGGTGGCAGTATTCCAGCTAGAAATGCAGCAATGGAAAACACCCACATTTGGTAAACAGTGGGTGTTTTCCCCCCACAGGTTTTGCTGTTTGCAGCTTGGCAGGCGTCTCACCTACGTCACACATCATCCTGCATCCCCTCTGCCCCATCATGACAGTCAGCTCATTTACTATGTAACTTTAGAAATGCTGATATGATTCATATAAAATATACAAATGTAATATATCCATGGTTTGCAGAAACAAACAATGCCAACATTTTCTCCTGGGGACTGGGCTGGGATTTACAGTCTGTCTTTTCCATCTCCTGTCATGTCATAATTCCTTACAGCGGAGGATTATATTTATTGTGGTGTAAAAATCTTTCAGACATCAATTCAGTCCTCGTGTTTTATGAGGCCTGTCCTGGCTTGGTGGTAAGAGGTTTCGTAATGACTATGGGGTCATCTAGCTCAATGACGACTTTCCTTATCCTCTTTTATGAGAGCCATAACTTAAGAGCGATACCACTGAATTTGCACGTTGGTTTACTACATTTGCTAAAAGATTGAGTCAAAAATGCTAATTTGCATATCTTATGAAAGTGTTGACTCACGCACACCCACAAGGATCCTCGGACTCACACTCCCTTCTCTTCACATGAGCGCTCATGAACGTTAGGAATGCACAGTCGGCTGGCTGGGAAGTTGCTGAATGATTTTCTTTCATCCCTGTGGCAGCGGGCTTGAACTGGAGAAATGGAGGTACTGAGCTCCCACTCAGGCCTTTGCTCTCTCTCCTCTGATGAATACCGCTATGATGGTCAGTGGCCTTGAAAGTGGCACTGGTCTGCTGATATGACAATTGTTGCAGCTGAGAGCCTTGCTGTCACAGTGTCTAGCTGCAGGATAGATGATATGAATATCTGGCAGTTGATGATAAAGCCAGTTGTGGTTCACATTGTTACATGTAGCATGTTTATCAGTGTTTCGTTTAACCAGATTTCTGTTAATGGAGCGCTCATGAACTGCTCTCTAGGAGCTAGTTTCCACAAAGAAAGTAACAAACAGAAATTTACTGATTTCACTGAACTGACAACAGGGCCAGTTGTGTCCCTTTAGAGCCCAGGTTTGCTTTAGGCCCCTCTTTCATATTGTAACCACCCAAGTGTGATCCAGTGAACAGGTGGTCGAAATGTGTTTAAAAACCTGTTGTATTATGAGCCCCCCCCAGGAAAAGGTGCTGCCTTGTTTGTCCTTGCCACAGGCTGTTTCTGATCCCCACAATACCTAAAACCTTGACTGCCGTCTCTACCCAACTGATACCCGACACGAGAATATCCCTCAGGCCATTAGCACATTTGCATCATCTCAGTTAATAAGGAATGAGTGTTTTTTTCTACTGCTGAGCTGCTTTGCGATGTAAAATGATTTTTTTACATAAAACCTGAGCCAACTGTATCTTTAAATGGTCTGTAGTTATTTCAGTGTGAGCATGATGCCAGTAATCATGAGAGGTAGGCTGACAATCAGTATGATAAACTAAACGCTGTGCAATCAAGAATAGCAGGTCTGTGTTCTTTTTCTGAAAAACTTTATGTTCTTTGAATAAAAGCATTGATTTATTGTTTCATAATCAAGGTTTCTTGCATATCATCTGGTCTTCTGCTTTACCAACTGTTTTTAAACCTTTACTTGCATACATGAGAGCCAAGATGCTTTCCATGGGCCAACTGCAAAACACTCCGGTACATTGTTATCACCATTCTGCAGGGGAATGATTACAATGAAGTGTTTGTCACCGCAAGGAACTGCATAGTAAAGAAGAAACCTGTGTTTCTATGGTGTATAGTTCAATCCTAAATCAGAATACAAGCATTGCTAAGAATTCCATAAACCTCATATAACTGAGTTTTCTGGTTATTTGGGGGCAGCGGAAACAAGTTGTGAAGACAGCATTGGCATATCATTACCTAAGGGTGCTTTCACACCTGCCCTGTTTGGTTTGGTTCAATCAAACTCACATTCGTTTGCCCCCTAAGTGCGGTTCATTTGGGCAGGTATCAACACAGCAATTGCACTCAGGTGCCACCAAAACAACCTAACCGAGACCTTCTTGAAGAGGTGGTTGAACTCTGGTGTGGTTTGTTTGTGTTGAGAACGTGTTCCAACCTCGATCTGAACCAACTGCAGTCGCATGACACATTGTTTGGGCTAAGCATGAGCATGTTACAGTCCTGGAGGATTATTAATGTGCACCTCCTCCTGTACTGCCTTAATATGCACATTCAGCGCATTTGTCACATTTACCTTGC